ATCAAATCAACAATTTGTAACATAAGGAAGCAAAAAAACACCCATCAGAACAGCAAAAAGAAAAACATCCAAAAAATGAAGAACAATTTCAAGCACGCCAACATTCACATCATGGGGGTACCAGAAGGAGAAGAGAGAATGAGCAAGAAATTTAAAACCTATTTGAAAACATAATGACAGAAAACTTTCCTAACCTGGTGAAGGAAACAGACATACAAGTCCAGGAAGCACAGAGAGCCCCAAACAAAATGAACCCAAAAGGCCAACACCAAGACACATCATAATTAAAATGTAAAAGGTTAAAGACAAAGAGAGAATCTTAAAAGCAGCAAGAAAAAAGCAGTTAGTTACCTACAAGGGAGCTACCCTACAACTGTCAGCTGATTTCTCAACAGAAGCTTTGCAGACTAGAGGGAGTAGCAAGAAATATTCAAAGTGATGAAAAACAATGACCTACAACTAAGATTACTCTACCCAGTGAAGCTATCATTTAGAATCAAAGGATATATAAAGAACTTCCCAAACAAACAATAGCCAAAGAAGTTCATCACCATGAAACCAGTATTGCACAAAATGTTAAAGAGCCTTCAAGCAGGAGGAGGAGGAGGAGGAGGAGGAGGAGGAGGAGGAGGAGGAGGAGGAGGAGGAGGAGGAGGAGAAGAAGAAGAAGAAGAAGAAGAAGAAGAAGAAGAAGAAGAAGAAGAAAAAGAAGAAGAAGAAGAAGAAGAAGCATGTGAACAATAAAAGCAATAACTACATATCAATCAACAATTGAACCTTAAAAAAAAAAAAAGTAAGTGAACAAAGCAGGACAGAAACAGACTTATAGATACAGAGAACATTTTGACAGTTGCCAGATGACAGGAGGGTTGGAGAATGGGTGAATAGGAAGTACAAACTGATAGTTACAGAAGAGTCATGGGAATATAAACTACAGCATAGGGAATATAGTCAATAATATTCTAATAACTATGTATGGTGTCAGATGGGTATGAGATTTATCAGGATGATCACTTAGTAAGTTATATAATGTCCTATCACTGGGATGTACACCTGAAACTAACATAATATTGCATGTCAACTGTAATTGAAAAAATTTTTAAATTAGAAGAAGAAAGAGGAGGAGGAAGGAGAAGAATTAGAGGAAGTCAAGGTGCTCCTAGGCCCCTCTGCCCAGAGCCAAGCACCTGGAGTGAGCAGTGGGAACCAGGAGGTTTCCTCTGGCTTCAGAGAGCAGGGATGATCCCCGAGTTCCCAGTCTTCAGGGGTGCTGGCCTGACACGTTCAGAACCCCTGCACAGATGGTCCCCACATGCCAAAGCCCCACGTGCAGTCTTTGCACCCTGATGCCAACAGTGAGTCCAGCCCTACCCACTTCAAATCTCTAAACCGCAGTACCCGCTAGGAGCCCAGTCGCCCCTGGATGTCCCCAGCCCCGCAGCATTGCAATCATGGGCAACCTACCTTGACAGGAACTGAAGCACAGCCAATAACATGCTTCGGCCACAGCTCAGGCCCACCCACTGTCTGCAGGGCAAGGAAGAGTGCTGAGTCTCCTAGGCCCACCCCAAGCCCTGGGTCCAGACCCAACCCCTGCCCACCATACCACCTGGCTGGGACTATGCCACACTTTGGAGGGTTTCCAGAAGCTTGAAGGTACTTACCCAGCCAGCCACCCTATCAGACCCTCGTGGGGCTGAATTTTTCTGGCAATCAGAAGAGTATAATTAAGCAGAGGCTTTGGAATGCCCACCACTCTCAATGCATCTGGAGCCTGGTGATCATGAAAATTACTCCTTCTGGGCACAGAGGGAGCTTCTACAGGTGTCCAACCACCCAAGAGTGCCCTGACCCCTGTGCCAAGGAGACCATGCTGAGGGTTCTCAGTCAATGCAAGAAAGGAAAAAAGGAAGTTTGTGGGACCACACTGGTTGGAGACCCTGGACACCAAGAGAAGGAGGCAGAGCCCAGATTGCAGGCAGTCTGCTTTAAAACCCATATATAGAAATGGAGTGGCCAGGCCTGGGTCTCTGCTTCTGGTGCAACAGTGTCAAGAGGAGGACTAACACCTTCCCTGAGCCTTCTGTGTCTGCCCTGATGCACCCACCCTGATGCAGGGACACTACCATCCCAAGCCACACAGTCACAGCCTCAGCTGGAGAACAGGGAGCCGGATGTCCCCCTTGTGTCCTAAGAGTCAAGATTCTGTCACCACCACCATCTGAGGCTCAAACCATAGTTTTTTTTACCCTGGTGAGCTCTGCTCTACCCCTGCATGAGTCATAGACTCCACCAGGTCACCTGCCACCACCCCAGCTGGCAGGTCTGCTAAGCCCCAGACTCCCCTCTGCCATGCTTGCACCACCCACATGCAGAATCACTGCTACAACCAAATATTTGCCTTCCTCCCACCCACTCACTCCTCCTGCCTTTTCCCAGAATACACTTATCAGAAAGGCAGTCTGCCCAGTTTCTATAGGTAAAAGTTTGTTCTTATTTTCTTTTTTTTTTAATCCTCACCCGAGGACATTTTTCCATTTTTTGTACAGATAGAGTGGGAGGGAGAGGAAGAGAGAGAGAGAGAAACATCAACGTGAAAGGGACACATTGAGTGGCTGCCACCCGCACGACCAACCAGGGCCGGGGACAAACTGCAACAGAGGTACATGCCCTTAGCGGGAACCGAACCCGGATCTCTCCAGACCAAAGGCCAATGCTCTAACCGCTGAGCCAAACCGGCCAGGGCTGTTCTTATTTTCAATAATAATTACAGGCAGTGTTATTATCAAACAAAAAAAGTGCATTCACAAAGCTGCATACAATTTTAGGGGTTCAGATTCACCTGGACTCTTAATTAAGAATACCTTCTATAAGGAAGTAACATTGAAGGATTTGAGTAAAATAAAGGTACCATGTTCCAAACAGTGTTTAGAAGGGTTCATTTGCCTGAGAGGATAACAACTGTTCGCAGTGAGGTCAGTTGAGAAATTACTGTAATGTACTGTAATATAATGTAAGCAGGAGCTCATATGGTCCTAGACAAAGGCAGGGGCTCTAAGAATTCACTAAGTAAGTAATATTTCTTGAGAGCTTACTGTGGGCCAGGCCTGGTGCTCAGTGTTCAGGACATGACAATAAAGAAGATGAGACTGTTGCCTTCAAGGAACTCCAAGCTGGGCAGGACCAGAAATGCAAGCAGCAATAGATGTGGAGGAATCAGAGCAGAAGCAGGGTCTCTTACTCAGAGCTTTCCACTGCCCATTCCCTAGAATCAAGTCAAAGTCTTTACATCATATTTAAGGCACTTAAAAAACAATAGTCACAACTTACCTTTCTGCTGTCATTTCTGCTTCGACCCCCACCACAACTACTTTCAACACCCACACCACATGCTCCCTTCAGGGCATCCACTGTGGATGCTTGACTGTCTTCTGACACTGCATTACATTCTCTCAACAGCTGTGCCTGGTAAAACTCCTATCTGTTACCCAGCTGAGATGCTGCCTTCCTTGAGGCTTTGTCCAGCCTCCCCATTCATTCTGCCCTGAGTCAGTGTGTGTGAGCCTCAGTCTTCCCCAGCACTCAGTAAGCTTGAGAGGGCAGAGATGTCTTTTTATCTTATCCTGGGAGTGATCCAGTTTCTGTGATGGCAGGTGCTCAATGTTTCTACCTAACTGAAAGGTGGGAACCTGGAGGGAGAACAGAGCCGAGCTAGTTGTGGAGTCATTAGCAAAGCCTTGGCAGCCGGAATCAGGAAAGAAAACCTAAACATTCACCTCTTTGTGGAAGCATTCACTTTTGCCAGGCAAGGATGGAGGTTATCCTGAGTACACATCAGGTGACCAGTAAACGCCGGGTTTAAAAATATAGGACTTTCGCCCTGGTCGGTTTGGCTCAGCGGTTAGAGCATCGGCCTGGGGACCAAAGACTTTCCAGTTCGATTCTGGTCAAGGGCATATACCTCAGTTGCTGTTAGGTACCCGGCCCTGGTCAGGGTTGTGCTGGAGGCAACCAATCCATGTGTCTCTCACAACGATCTCTTTCTCTCTCTGTGTGTCTCTCTCGCGCTCACTCTCCCCCTCCCTCCTACTCTGTCTGAAAATAAATGGAAAAATATCCTCAGATGAGGATTAAAAAAATATATGACTTTCATATCTAGGCAACTTAGGTCACCCTATTTATAATGATACTCCACAGGGAGAGGGTGACTCCTACTCTCACAATTGCCTGTTTGGGGCGCAGACTTCCACTCTTCTAATGGATTATTCCTACTTATTAGTTTTTAAATTATTATTGTTAGATTATTTTTTTAAAAGAGCTTACTTGCAAAGATCAAATGGTTATAAAGCCTACATCATCCTTGGAAGTATTGTAGGATCACTCCAATAGCTCTTGCTTTTAATTCTTTAACCACTGCGGGTCATCTGCAGTGAGCATTACCTCACCTTTGTTTGCTCTACCAAAATATTCAAGACATGAACGACTGCATTATTTGGCTTTACCACAGCTGCCCCACGACGGGTGCACATTTCCTCCGTGGAGGAACGAGAAGATGCGGGTGCCTTTCCAACCCAGCCGCGCAACGAAGAAGCCATCCCTGTCAGAGATGCGCTGGGCAGAGAACAAGGTCTTAAACTGACCGGACCCACCCACTCGGGCGGTGCCAAGTCTCAGCAAGTGCCACATCTCGTGGGCTTGACTGATAAGAGACGGGGCCCAGGACCCCCAAGCCCGGTAGTCCCGCGCGGGGCTCAGCTCTCTTGCTTTACGCTAACTTCCCTCCTCCTCGTGGGTCCCGCCTGTCACAGGTGCGCAGAGCTCCGATGCGTCACCTTCCCGCCTTCTATCCCCCGCCCCGCCCCGCCCCGCCCCGCCCCGCCCGGCCTGCCCGGGACCCAAGTCATGGTGATCTGATTGGCTGAGGGCGACGGGGGCGGGGCCGGAGCGCCCCGGGAGCCCAAGGGCAAAGGCGCTGGTGGTGCGGGCTGGGTGCACCGGGAGGGCTGGGTGCCACCTGCGCCCGAGGAGCCAGTAGGGCCAGCTCAGGATGAGGACGCGCTGGGCGACCCCTCGCTACGCGGCGGAGCTCCTCGCGCTACTCCTTCAGTGCTTCCAGCTGGCAGAGCCCTCTGGCCGCGCAGGTAACGCGGGTGCGTCCGTCACCCAGACGGCTGGGGGCTCGCCGCTGCCGGGCCCGCAGACTGCCCTCGGTTCCGGTTAGGGCTGAGCTCCAGGTCACGTCTTCGCCTGGGGTCTGAAGCCGGCAAAGGGAGCCGAAGGAGAGGTCTGGGGAGAGGGTGCTTCATTGCCCTCGGGGAGGGCGGGATACGGGGCGGGGGGGCGGGGGAGAAAGGATGCGGGTGGGGCGTGGGAGGCAGGGCCTTTCTGGGACAGAGGGCTAAGGCTAGGAGCCCAGGGTCGGGGAGACGCACTGAGTCTTTTCTGGGTCCTCCCTACCCCGTACCTTCCTCATCCTCTCTCTAACTTGCTTCCCTGGAGTATAGGGCTTGTCAAGGCTCCTTGAGTCCCATCCTGCCGGTCTCGTTCCTCCTTTGCCCCTTGGTCACTTTTGCCTCTTAGTGTCCAGAGGCGCTTTCCACCGATAGCACCAAGGATGAGTAATGACTCCCTGACTTCGCTGTGCCCACGGATGCACGTCAAAAGGAGTCAAGTTAATCCCTCTCTCCTGAGGTGGTCATGCTGGTGACTCTGTTATGATAACCTCCCCCAGTGCCTGGAGCAGCGGCCCTTCTTTCTAATTGGTGTTTCGCTCCAATCACCACGACCCGCACCGTGGAGAGCAGGTCGCCCGCGCTGATTTCCTGCCTCTCAGTGCGCAAGCAAGACCAAGAACCGACGCCCTTAGCTGATGCTACAGGTAGTGCCAGCCTCACTATCCCTCTTGGCAGCGACCAGAGTTTACTTTTACTTTCTCTTTTTGCCCTGGCAAAGTTGTGCTGGAGACTTTGTTTCGTAAACAGCACAATGGGCAACGTGCAATCTGTAGGCAGTCCCCACCCATCACTTTTGTTACCTTTTCTGTATGAGGAAGTATAACGTGGTCAAGGGGATTTTTTTTAAAACTTCACATTGCGTGTGGCTCCTGTTTTCTTTGCAGCTAAACTAAGCTACTATCTGAGTTAGACTTTTTTTGGAGGGTTGAGAAGAGGTTTCTCAGAGTATCTACATCAAGGACCTCTGATTCACAGTTCGCCATCCTTCTTCAACCCTCTGTGTTGGAAACTACCAAAAGTCCTTTATGCTGTGAGAATTCTATTCTGCCTGCCCCACAATCCCAGGAAAACATTTTTACTACAGCAACTAACCTACAGTCTAACACACTAACCTTTCATTACTAAACACTAAACTCTTGGTTTCCATCTACATCTATTATAACCTTATCTATTTTGTCTCCCACAAAGAAGTCAAGATTTCCTGAATGTTTGCTATCTCTACAATCCCTGGACTTTCTTATCAACCAAAGCAAAGAGCAAGGGGTTAAGTCCATTCCCTCTGCACTAGATTCTCATTTGTTTTCCTGCATCCTTCCTCCCCCTTAGCAGCTGCTCTGGTTGGCTTTCTCACACTCTCAGACCAGACTTGTGGTCCTATTAAAGAAAGGCCTGGATTTTATTTATTTATTTATTTATGGTTTTTAGATAGAGTGGAATGGAGAGAGGGAATGAGGGAGCGGGAGAGAGAAAAACATCTATGTGAGAGAGACACGTTGATTGGTTGCCTCCCACTTGAAGGGATCAAACCTGCAACCCAGGTGCATGTCACTGACCAGGAATCGAACCCTTGACCCTTTGGTCCACAGGCTGATGCTCTAACTGCTGAGCCAAACCAGCCACGGCAAGAAAGCCCTGGAATTTTGAAACCCCAGCCATTTGGGTAGCTTGTCTGGCAGTCTGTCAGCTTCATGAAGCAGATAATGGCATGCACCTCATCCCAGGTGCACGGCTAGGTTTATGCAGGTGGTCTCAGTTACTCAGATGCCAGAAGAGGACCTCTGTGTTCTTGGGGAAATGCCAGTTGCTTAGTTTACTTTTTTGCCTCATTGGAGAGCTAACACCCTGAAGTAAACCAATCCTTCAGGAACTTCTGAGTCCCTTACCAGCCCACACCACTCGATCTGAATTGTGGAGGTCCCCCTGAAAAAAAAAAAATGCTGCTGTCTTCATCCTTCTGGCCTCCCCAAGCATCTCCCTCTCCATTTGTCTGTGGTTATAAAATGTTGATGTCCAGTTTCTCTTTGGACTGTGCAAAGCTCTTTGGTTTAGGGCTTGTAAGATAGGAATTGCTTAATAATCAGACAATAAGAGATAATTTTCCTTGATGGATGTGGAAATACTAAGAATTCATTTTCAATTTGTGGTAATGCTACTTAGCTATTTCCTCTCAAAAACTACTAGAATGTTTATATAACATGAAGCATACAAAAAGTGCTACTAGGGTTTTGAGGCTTCTGTTTATCAACCTCTGCCTTTTAGACTTGTCCCAATATTATATTTGGAGATAAACACTAAAATTCCATTTAGGCCTTGGTTGGTATGGCTCAGTGGATAAAGCGTCAGCCGTTGCACTGTAGGGTCATGAGTTCAATTCCTGGTCAAAGGCACATCCCTGGGTTGCAAGTCCAATCCCAGCCCTGGTTGGGGCTTGTTCAGCAGGCAATCAGTCGATGTGTTTCTCTCACATTGATGTTTCTCTCTCTCTCTCCTCCTCCTCCCTCCCTTCCACGCTGTCTAAAAAACAACAAAAAAGAAAATCAATGGAAAAGATATCCTTAAGAGGATTAACAATAACAACAACCAGCCCGGCCAGTGTGGCTCAGAGGTGGAGTGTTAACCCATGCACCAAGAGGTTGCTGGTTCGATTCCCAGTCAGGGCACATGCCCAGGTTATGGGCCAAATCTCCAGTGGGGAACATGCAGGAGGCGGCCAATCGATGTCCTCTGTCATCAGTGTTTCTATCTCTCTCTCCCTTCCTCTCTCTCTAAAATCAATAATAAAAAAAAGAAAAATAACAGCAACAAAATCCATTTAGGACCAGTAAAAAATTGTTACGTGAACAAGATGCAATATAAAGCTATTAATAAAGGATCTTTTTTATAAATTGCTCTGTAATTACCTTTACAAAGTGTAATGCATTTTGAACTATTTTATTTACTTTTATTTAACAAATTTTCTAAATGAGAAATTATTTTCACACTTTCTCAGTCCTTCTTCCCACTCTTCAACCTATCATCCTTCATACATGATATATGTATATGCTGAGGCAGAACAAACAGCTCCTGCTAAGGGTAAGGAAAGATGGAGAAACATCATGAGAAAACAAGACTCTCCCTGGCTTATATATTGTGTACGAATGCTTATACATACATTATGTATGCAGGCTAATAACAAGTTTTGTTAAATCATATCAATAATGAATGCCTGTGCTAAGTGACTAATATAGATAGATGTCAAACACTGATGTTCGTACTAGGGTAAAGGACAGGTTTAGAATGAGGCAAGTAGCTAGAAACATAGGTATTGCAATTAGGTAAGGAGCTTGGCAACTCCTCTTTAACATAACTTCTCCATGCTACTACACACTTCTCCTATGGTCTTTCAGAGTTCCTACAAGCTTGTCAAGTCCCCAGGGGTCCCAGAAGTAAACTATATAGTAAATGGAAAAGGATACATATTTTTTTTCTCTTCCAAAGAGTAATAATAAAGCAGCATTGTCACCTAAGTGCACATGCTCAATACAAATGTGATTAGAATGGTCTAAAAGGCTGCTAACATTAGAATTACATAATAAAGTTGTGGACGTCTGTTCCAGAACAATATGCAGTTTGCACCCTATGTTCATTGCAGCATTATTTACAATAGCCAAGATTTGGAAGCAGCCCATGTGCCCATTAGTAGATAAGTGGATTAAAAGAGCGGTGGTATATTTACATAATGGAGTACTACTGGGCCGTTAAAAAGAAGGAAATCTTACCTTTGGCAACACCATGGATGGACATGGAGAGTATTATGCTAAGTGAAATAAGCCAGTTGGAGAAAGACAAATACCATATGATTTCACTTACATGTGAAATCTAATGAACAAAATAAACAAACAAACAAAATAGAAACAGACTCATAGATACAGAAAACAGACTGACAGCTGTCAGAGGGGAGGGAGTGGGAGGATTAGTGAAAAAGGTGAAGAAATTAAGAAAAAAAAGAAGAAATTTGATAAACGTAGACAACAGTATGTTGATTACAAAAGGGAAGGGGGTGGGAGGACGTAGAAGAGGGTAAAGGGTATAAGTGGTGACTGAAAGACTTGACTTCAGATGTTGAACACACAATATAATACAAAGGTGATGTATTATAGAATTGTACACTTGAGATCTATATAATTTTATTAACCAATGTCACCCCAATAAAAATTTTTTAAAAAGAACAATATGCCCTGGCCAGTTTGGCTCAGTGGTTGGAGTGTCGGCCCACTGACCAGAGAGTCCCGGGTTCAGTTTCTGCTAAGGGCATGTACCTCTGTTGCAGTTTGTTCCCTGCCCCAGTTGGGGTCGTGTGGGTGGCAACCACTCGATGTGTCTCTCTCACGTCGATGTTTCTCTCTCTTCCTCCCTCTCTCCCTCCTGCTCTATCTGAAGATAAATGCAAAATGTCCTTGGATGAAGATAAAAAAAAAAAGAACAATATGTGCCCAGCCAGTGTTGCTCAGTGGATTGAGCGACATCCCATGGACTGAGAAGTATATGATGTTAGAATTGAAAGTGGCTTAGATATCTTATGCTCTACTACTTTCCTCTTACATTTGGAGATTTGAAGACCCTGGGGAGCTTAAGTGACTTCCCCAAAGTCACCTGCCTAACTGGTAGTGGAGATGGGTCTTTAATCTGGGATTCCTAACTCCTTATTCCACTACCACTGTACTGAGACCCATACTAATCCTTTGGATTCTGCAAAGGCACCCTGAGAAATCTAGAACTCCAAACTGCAAAGGTAGGCAAAGCTGCTGCTTGCCCAGTTCACCTGTTTGGGGTAAAGGGGCACAGAGCTGAGTGCCAGGAAAGAGAGCAGTAAGGCTACAGGAGAGGGGACGTTTTCGGCAAGAGTGGCAGCCACCCACTTTTCTGTAGGAGCAGACTTCTTTTTTCCTGCAGTAATTCCTGGTACCTGGGAACACAAGGCTTATTTTGGAGAGGTGAGAGGGAATGGTTTTGGAAAGAGATACCTCCCGGGGCTGAGCAGCTATTGGATGTGTGGGAGAAGGACATTAGAGAAAGTATGAGTGATAACTTTCTAAGACAGTGTGTTTATTTTTTTGTTGACTATCTTCCCGATCTGTGTCCACAAAGTAGAGAATGGCAGAGTGGTGTCAAGAAGGGAAGAGTGAGGGATGGAAGCTACTATGGCAAACATACTTAGCTGCAACCCTACGCCATACTTTAAAATACAGATTTGAAAGCAGAAATAACAACATTTTAAAGGATCTTTGTTGTTTCTCTTGTTTCTCTTGTCACTGCTGCCGATATTTAAAACAGAAACTTCTGTCCAAAGTTCAAAGTAGAATTGGACTTAATTTTATAATTATTATGTACATAGTTAAATTTCCCTGCAAGTCCTTGGTATGCAAATTTTTAACTCTGAGAGCCTTTGAATTATTATTAGCAAAGTTTTTTAGTGTTAGCAAAACCAATGATTGTAAAACTGACATCATAGTGAAAGTGCCTTTTGGGAACTAAAATTTTATAGGATTTTCTGCTGAAGACTGGTTCACCGATCATGATTATTTAAGTTCGTCTAATATATTTCAGCTTTACTCTCATCAACATGTGCTTTAACATCAAAGAAAGTTTATTTGTAAAGACACTGACCAAATTGTTGGAGCCGGGCACAGTTTCCCCGAACCCTCAGACCTCCATTTCCTCTCAGCCCTCAGAAGTCTCCCCATCTCCTCTGAGACACGTTAATGCCATGTGATAATTTACCCTGCTGTCGTAAGTGTACGCAAGACAAAATCAGGACATTTTTCATCAACTGTCCTCTCTTAAGGAAATGAAAACTAAGGGATTTCTTTATCTTGTTAAATAAAGAGGGGGGCATTTCATGGAATAGTAATAACACATATACATACCATTCTAAGTGCTTTGCATGTATGAGCTCATTTTATCCTCACCGCTACCTCATAAAGTACTATTTACAAAGGAAGAAGCTGAGGTACAGCAGTTAAATAAATTGCCCTGATCATGGCTAGCAAGTAGCAGAGGCAGACTATGAACCCAGGCAGATGGGCTCCAGCCTCTTCCCCACACTGCCTGCCTCTCTGGCCATGCTGTCCTCTGATCTTGTAGCACACTACCATTGATACATTCCTATGGTGTTCATACTCTCATCAGCCCTTGGGGGCCAAGGCACATTCACCACATAACTCAGAATCCTGAAATGTCTTCTTTGACTGTCCAACTTGATTCAGGTAACGATCCATTCACCATCGTCCATGAAAACACGGGAAAGTGCATCAAGCCACTGAATGACTGGATAGTGGCAACGGATTGTGACAAAACCGAGGACATGTTGTGGAAGTGGGTGTCCCAGCATCGGCTCTTCCATTTGCAGACCCAGCAGTGTCTTGGCCTAGATATTTCCAAACCCGTGGACTCCTTAAGGATGTTCAGCTGTAACTCCAGTGCCATGCTGTGGTGGAAATGTGAGCACTACTCTCTGTACGGAGCTGCCCAGTCCAGGTTGGCTCTGAGTGGTGGACATGCCATAGCAAGTACAAATGCTTCTGACGTCTGGAAGAAAGGAGACTCAGGGGGAAACCTCTGTGACCAGCCTTACCGTGGTGAGTGGAGGGACTTGGACATGTTTGCTGTTGTGTTTGGTAAATATGCCATTAAACATGCACAACTGGCCACAAGTGGTACTGGTGAGGGCAGGGAGCTGGCCTTCAGTTCCAGGCAGTGGGCAGTAACTTTGAACCATGCCCGTGGGGTTGGTGCCATTTGCTCCGTGGCAGGCGAGGCTAGGAGAGGCACATGCCTTGTCACAGGTCACACAGCCCTCCTGTGGTAGCCTGGAACTGAAAATCTCCCTGATGCCTGAGCATATGTTTACATGCTTTTTATGATTCCATCTTGAACCCCAAAACAAAGGAAAAGTTGACTAACAGGACATCCTTTTTACAGGATAAAAGTCAAATGATGTAGTAAAGTCGAACCTATTTTAAGTTACAAAAAAAAGAAGAAAAAGAAAAAACAAGGAAATGTATTTTTTCTTATCTGCAGATTTTGATGTAATGGAAAAAATTTAAGAGCTTCGTGTGAGTTTTTGTGCTTATTTTTATTTTTGGTATGGCTATTACACTTTGCTAGTGGACTTTTTTTCAATTGCTTCCAAAAAATGAGTACATTATTATTGATTTTTAGGGACTTGATTGTGAACATTGTTCTGAGTCTAGGGACTGAATCATAGGGAATTTCCAAGTTTAAAAAAGAATGAGATTTATTTTTTAAATCTCTAAATGTGAATAGCTATCACTCAAGCAAATCTTTTTTTCAATATGTTGCTCTAAATTACATCAGATGTTGAGATATATATTTAATTATCCTATAAGTTTTAACTATTATCTCACTTTTGCTCTTCTTTGTAAATTCACACAGCTTTACAGGGATTCTTTTCTTCTCTTAAAGTTCATTTAAGCACAGTTTGGCCTCCCATCTGTGCCCTTATTGGCACAAGTTTTTATCCTGGGGGACCCCCTTTCTAGGTTCTAGTGCAGATGGCGTGTTCCTCCGCGGTATCAGGTTCTACTGTTTCCGGGAAATGTTAGAGGATTAGGGATGGGGTTTCCCTTTAATGCTCAACCCTTGTGTGGTGGAATAGGTCTGTTTCTGCTACCCGGCTTCCTCCTAACCTCGAAAAGCAGTTGGTTTCTGGATTCCACTTAATGAGAGTTTAAATATTGTGCTGTAAGGCCTTTCTCTAACCTGGCAACTACAAAAAAACACGGAACCAAACAAAATACCTTTTGAACTGAATTTGACTTGTTTCATTACGTTTGTTCAAGGATCAGAAAGGATCAGTTTCTCGGCAGGGCCCTTTCTGTCTCTTACCCCTAATTCTTTTGAGGGATATAGTTGTAATTATAAGTTCCTTTAGTCCCCAAAATGTCTCCATGTCAATATAATAGGGTTTTTGTTTTTTTTTTAATCCTATATGTTTTATTTTATGTGTTTATAATAGTCTTCTGAGAAGGAGGCCCTCTGACCAAATACTTGAGGGTGGTCCCAAAAAGGTTAAGAATCCATCTAGGGCACCACCCCAGAGAGAGTCAAACAGGCAGAAAGTGTTGACCTTACCAAATATAAATTTTAAAATAAGAAATTTAAGAATTTCTAAGAGAAGCTATATGTAGTTCTGATTTGTCAACACATACCTCAGATTTTAATTTGCACCAGAGGTAAGGGCCCAATCTTCCTCCTCTTTTCCTCTCCTCTCCTGGTGACTGGTACCTTCCAAGTCACATATGTCAGAAACCTATAAGTCACCCTAGAGTTGTCCTGGTTTCCTCTCCCACCATTCAAATTTCATAAAATATTAACTCCTGGCAATTTTACTCTTTTTTTTTTTTTCTTTATTGATTTTAGAGAGAGAAAGAGGAAAGGAGAGGGAGAGAGATAGAAACATTGATGACAGAGAACATTGATTTACTGCCCCCTGCACGCCCCCCACTGGGGACTGGGCCCACAAACTGGGCATGTGCCGTGCATGGGAATCGAACTGGCGACTTCTTGGTGCATGGGTCAGTGCTCAACCACTGAGCCACACCCGCCAGGCAATTTTACTCTTTTAAATATATTTAGTCCCTTCTCATTCTTAGGTTAGAAACTGCTGGGGTTTTTTTATCCTCACCTGAGGACTTTTTTTTCGTTTTTTGTTCAGATAGAGTGGGAGAGAGAGAGAGGAAGAGACAGAGAGAGAAACATCGACATGACAGGGACACATCGAGTGGTTGCCACCCACATGACCTGGGTCTCTCCAGACCGCAGGCCAATGCTCTAAATGCTGAGCCAAACCGGCCAGGGCTAGAGAGTGCTGTTTTTAAGTTAGGGACTTTCTCTCGGACTTTCTCTCAGACTCCCCATATTGGTCCCTGCCCCTCTTCTTATCTAAGTATATAGAGGAAAGAAAAAATAACATACCTTTGTCCCAACAAAGTGAAGTCCAAAGTTACCAAGCTTGTTACAACAATGCTGCAGCTCAGAACCAGCATCCTGTTCTGCAAATATGGCTACTTTATTTCTCCCTTGGCTTGTGCTGTATAAATGATTTTACTTCTAATACAAGAACATTTATTAGTCATTGTGTCCTGGGTTGCCTCTCTCGCCAACCCCCATCCTGTGTGAGTCATGTTCATCAGAGAAAACTTTAGTTGTTTACATTGTGTGAATAAACTGCTTTGACCAGCATCCAGATACGCGTTTATATCATTAAGATAGCTTGGCCTTGTTAGCACTCTTCAAATTTCCAATATTTGGTGGACTGTGCCAGGGAAATGGACTTTTACTGGAGCTGTGGGTGTAGAGCTCTCTGAATTTTGAGCAGCTCTTAGAAACCTGCCAACTTCTTTTAACCACTGAAGACATTTTGTCTGATGGTACCAAAAAGTTTTATATTCGTTTTTCATGTCAGTGCCTCATCTTGTTAAAGGCTGCTATCCCCATACACCCACACGTTCGGAGGAGAAGAGTCTTCGCAGGAAAGCCTGTTTCTCTGGAGGAACCCGCGGGATTTAAGAGGTCCAGCAGCAGCAAAGAAATGTATGACAATAAAACTCTTAGTGCATAGTTAGCATAATTTAGTGGCTGCCAGCTACAGTGGTTGTTATATGCTTATCACTCTGCAGAGCATGTTGTGAGTAGGAGAGCTTTTTAATGAAGCTCCGCTTCAAGCGATGAAACATAACTTGGAACCTGAGAAGGCAGCCGTTGCTGCTGTAGATTGTCCTTACATGTCAGGGACTCTGATCCAAGAGCTCGTTCCTGTCACTGACCACTGAGTGACTGGCTGATTTCGCTAACTGCCCTGCAAAATGGGGACTTCACAAGCAAGTGTAACACTTTTCCTACTGACTGTAACAAAGGCTATGGTAAGGAAAAAGTGAAAGAAATGTAAATGAAAGCACTTTGTATGAGAAACAAGAATTTGGGAAAAAGAAAGCTGATGTTTCTGTAACTAATTGTCGTTGTACTCAGGGACTCTCCTGTTAAGTGTTGTAATATGGGAAGAGAAATTGGTCATGCGGTCTTGGGAGTTTGGGTATGGTTAAAAACAAAATTTAGGTAGTAGGCAGGATCCTTATAACATATAGGGACAAATTACTCTTTAACAGAAATACCCTGTTCAGAACCATTTATGTGTCAGAAGAAAATAAAACCATGTTCCCTAAAAGATATTTTGCAAATTAAAACATCTAAACTATTCTTACCTATTGCTGTATTGCTGCTTAATACATTCTAAACTGTTAAATCAAGTCCCACTGTTACTGCACAGGGTCTGGGCCCAGAGCTGTCTGCCTTGGGCTGACTGTGTGGGTTCTTGACTTCATGCAGGAAAAGTTTCATAACACGAGTCCAAGGTGATTTTGAGAGTATGTTTATTAAAGCTGGGGACAGTGAAATGAAGGAAGAACTTAAAGTTTAAGAAGCAACAGGAGAAAGTCAGAGAAAAGGGGGCCTTGGAGACAGGTTCAAGGAGTAAGCCCAGAATGAACTGCTGCTCCCTGCTTCCCGGGTTGCAAGTCTCATGGGGACCCTTAGAGTTCAGGAGAAAAACAGCATAGATGCAAGGTGTGGGCATGCTCTAGCGAGAGAGTGCTGTGGGTCCTTTGTCTGGGGGGTTCTCGTCTTTGGCCAGCCCGAATCCTAGGGGAGGTCCTAATAGAATATTCATTAGCTTTTCAGGTGTGTCTTTCAAACTGTTGATTCATCAAAAAGTGTATAGAGAGAGGTCGGGGTTAGTTCCTGGTTAGTTTCATTTTTCAATTTTTATTAATTCATTTTTGTTACAGATATTTCTTCTTTTTCCCCCATTGACACCCTCCTCCCGATCCTGCTCCCCCTCCCCCGGTTAGTTTTATTTTTAAAGAACGTTATTGAAGAGGGACCAGGACCAAGGCCTGTCTGCCTCTGCATGGTCCAGAACGTGTAAACCATTTGCTCCTAAGTGTCCTTGGTTAGGGAAGATAAAACCTTGTGATTGATTATCTGGCTGTAAATTGCTCAAATTGTTTGGCCTTGTTTAATTGTTTTGTCTCAGTTTCCCTTGTCAAGGAATTTTCCTAGCTGCTTACTCTCCTACCACATCACATTTTAATTAAATGAATATTTAAGAATAATGAAAGATGTGGAATCAAATATTATCTTCAGTACACTTTCATGCAAATATATGAGACATTCTGAGTGACCTCCCAGCCTGGTAAAGGGCGATAAGATCTGATCCGCGGGCTTTACTAATGGCCATTATTTAATCTGGTAATGACCATAGTTTTAAACAAATTACAGATGTGGAAAAAGGTGACTGAAATAGTTACAGGGTTACCTGTTCCATAAAAACACCTTTCTGAGAGATCTATTACTAACATAAGTATTGAGCATTTCCTCTAGCATTTCCACACATATCCGAGGTTAGAATCATTTTTCAGTTCCTCTCCATGGAAAATTATTAAGATGAAAAAGCTAGTTCTGCTCCCTCGCTGCTCAAAACCTGAATTACCATGTTCTGCTCCTTTCCAAAAACCCACTCAGAGTTCCAGCAACTCTTCTTCCCACTTCCTCAAAACCCACAATCTCAGTTCTACCACCAGTCTGTGAAGAACGGGGCTATTTGTCCATCTCCCTAACTCCACATTGACTTCCAAAGTCCACACCCACCTTTGGGGATTCCATGGTATTTCACTGGCCCCACTCTTACTAAGAAAAAGAAGATAGAGTGTACGTTTAATCTCAGGCAGGGCGCCCCTTCTGGTGAAATCCTCTGCCAACCATGGTAGTCAATTGGTCCTCGCTTGATCAAGCCACAGTCTTTTAGCTCTTCATCATAACACAATAAGTGAAGTTTTACATGGATTATCTCATGGAATCCTCATGAACAAACCTGTGAGTGAGGTACTGTTATTCCGAATTTGCAAATGCAGAGGCTGAAGCTCATAGAGTTTGGAGAGCTTGTCCACAGCCGCACCATTGGTCAGTGGGGGAGCCAACATTCAGGTCCAGACCTGAGCAGTCAGCATCTGTGCTCTGAATTTCTTCACCATACAGTCTACCCAAATACTGTACTCTCATACGTGAAAACAACCATCTTTCTTTCAAAGCACTTTTAGAAATAAGTTAACTGAAGCGGATTATCCAGTTATTAACTCTCCTTTCCTCTACCCTCTGCCCCCACCACCAACCCACAGAGGTATATACCAGAGACGGAAACTCCTATGGGAAACCTTGTGAATTTCCATTCTTAGTTGCTGGGACCTGGCATCATGAGTGCATCCTTGATGAAGATCACAGTGGGCCATGGTGTGCAACCACCTTAAACTATGAATATGATCAAAAGTGGGGTATCTGCTTAAACCCAGGTATGTATGGGCTAGTAAACTTTATATATGGGAAGAAAAGGATACCATTTCCAAAAGCCAGAAGGGAGAAGGAATAGTCCAAGATGATTAAAAAATGACTACAACAGATATTATCCTAGATAAGGAGTATATATTTGAGGAAAGAAGGAGAACTAAATGTGAAGCTATGAACCTGCTTTCAGAAGCAGGCCAGGAAAGAACAAAGGAAGGATGGCGTCATAGAAGACACACGATGAGGGAATGTTCTCTCGCACAGACACCGCTGGGAGAGGAAGTGGAAGAGGCATGGGTGGTTAGGAAAGGGCTGCTGACTTTTAACAGGGCAATTTGAAAGGCTAATGGGTATAGAAGCTGAGTCATAGTGGTCTGAAGCATGAACAGAAGAGGAGTAAGCCCCTTACCTTTTTTGCATTTTTTTTTCTTTATTGAATTTAGAGAAGTGAGAGAGAGAGGAAGAAACATCGACGAGAGAGAACATCATTTGGCCGCCTCCTGCATGCCCCGCACTGGGGATTTGGCCCACAAACTGGGCATGTGCCCTGACCGGGAATCAAACAGGCAACCTCTTGTTGCATGGATCGACACTCAACCACTGAGCCACGCTGGCCAGGCAAGCCTTTTAAGTTTTATGGAAAACAAAAAGAGAGAGGGAAGGCAGTGGTCTGAAGGGGATATAGGTTGAAAAAACTTTTAGGATGGTGGACACTTGAATATGTTTATGATCTAAAGCAAAGAGTGGGGGCAGGGTAGCAAAAGAGACATATCCCTGACCCTCTCCAAATTGGTGAATTGTTCCCCCAGCTATTCCTATATATTGATCAAAGCATTTTTTCTAATTGCTTCTTACTTGAAGCAAACAATTCAGAATGTACTAAAGAAGTGACTATTCCTTAAAGAGAGACAGACAGAGAAAGACACCAAAGTAGCAGTGGCATCATAGTCTGGTATATGATAAACAGATTTTCCTACCAATCAGATGAGAGTTACAGGGGATCAGAGTACCTGATGTATGGTAGATACTCAGGAAATGTTTTTAATGGGCAGTAGATTGGAAGAATCTATAGTAAAGTTAAAGGGAACAGTTCCAGACCTAAGTAATAATACTTAATACTTATAGGGCCCTGCCAAGTGTCAGGCGCTAGTCTAAGCGCCCAACCTGTGTTAGCTCCTGCAGTCCTCACACAATCTCATTTTACAGATGAGCAAAGGGAGGCACAGGGGAGTTAAATTACTCTCCTAAAGTTGCATAGCTGATCAAGTTCAGAGTTAAGATTTAAAGCCAGGAAATCGGTGCAGAAGTCCTTGTCCCAAACAGCTACACTCTCCTGCCTTATTCAGCAGCCGACCTGGTGATCTAGTCATGCTGATTCCTTCCTTGAGGGAAGCTGAGCTTCAAAATGCATAGTTCTAAACAACCTGAGGTTGTGCTGAGCCCGTGGTTCTCAAACTCCGGGATGCAACAGAATCACGTGGAGAGTTTGTTGGAACATCGATTTCTAGGGCCCACCTCCAAAACTTATAACTGTTGATTTAGAGCAGGGTCCAAGAATTTGCAGTTTAATGAGTTCCCAGATAATGCTCATGATGCTGTCTGGGATCACACTTTAATAACCACTTGTCTAGGTAGAGGCACAGGATTTTAAACACCTAGAACCTACTGAAAAGAAAAAAGCTAATATTTGCTTCAGCTGTAATTGATAAGCAGAGTTTGGTCCAACAGACACAGAGTTCATTTCAGTATCACAATAGTCTGGATCAGAAATTATAGATGTGAATGGGAGTTTAGAGGTTATCCAGTGCAAACCCTCACTTCTCAGGTGAGAGACAACAAACCCAGATTGATAAAGTGACCTGTCAGGGTCAAACCCTGTTCATGTGGAGCCTGGTGGAGATCCCAGGATCCTGCCCTTATTCCCCAGTGCATTTATCCCACTCTGCCTTGCCACCTTCACTGGCATGTGTCTCAGTGGCTCTAGCCCCCTTGGCAGGGGGGTGGATTTTTAATGTGTTCACATGCCTCCCAGAGTTTTTTTTTTTCCTGGAAGAACCAAGAACTGCTAAGTCATGAGATTTTATTTTATAGTAATAAACACACTGCTATTCCACTGGAAGCTTCTGGATGTCTAAGCATAGGGCCTCTGGTAATAAGGAACCTTTAGGCAGTATGCTTACAAATCCACCTATTTTGTTTTCAGCTCATGTCACAGCAACCTCCATTGCTATTTAGGTCGTTCGAACGTGGCTGACAGAGCAGTGTTGGCCATTCAGAAGATCCGTAGACCAGATGGAAGACCAGAGCTCTGCCCATGGCTCTGCCACCAACACCTCTAGACCCCTGCTCCTGTCTGTGAAAGGCGGACAGTTAGCCAAGATGATCCCGAAGCGCCCTTCCAACTTGAAAGGCCATGTGATATGTTACTGGTTATAGAGGGCCCTTCGGAATCCCCACCCCGAGTGAAGCTGGGGTGCACTTGGTGTCGTGTACATCGGGTTCTCCCTCTTGTAGAGAGCACATGGGAGTCTCTGAGTATATTTTTAAACCAGTTGTATCGAGACCTATATGACGTGTCCAGAAAACAACTTGAAGGTTTTTTTTGCCTGAAATGATACGTGCTTTTTATTTTTTTATTTTTTATCCTCACCCGAGGACATTTTCCCATTTTTTGTTCAGATAGAGTAGGAGGGAGAGAGAGGAAGAGAGAGAGAGAGAAACATCGACGTGAAAGGGACACATCGAGTGGCTGCCACCCGCACAACCAACCAGGGCTGGGGACAAACTGCAACCGAGGTATATGCCCTTAGCGGGAACCGAACCCGGGTCTCTCCGGACCGCAGGCGGACGCTCTAACCGCTGAGCCAAACTGGCCAGGGCGATACATGCTTTTTAAATATTTGTTCAGGAAAATAATATGTACATTATACAATGAGCAAACAGTTGTGTACATATACACATAATTATGTACATATACATATATAATGATATTTATGTAATATTAATTATCTATCATACATTGAATTATCTATTAAAATCTTTTTTTTTTATCCTCACCTGAGGACATTTTTCCATTTTTGTTCAGATAGAGTGGGAGGAAGAGAGCGAGAGAGAGAAACATTGACATGAAAGGGACACATTACGTGGCCACCTCCCACACAACCCCAAATGGGGCTGGGGACAAACTGCAACCGAGGTACGTGCCCTTAGTGGGAACCGAACCCGGGTCTCTCTGGACCGCAGGCCAACGCTCTAGCCGCTGAGTCAAACCAGCCAGGGCTATCTATTAAAATCTTAAGGAGAAACTTGGACTATTTCCCAAATCATGTAGTCACTGGGCTCTAAACCTTGAGCATTTAAAGAGCCTGTCTGCACACAGGCATCCACAGACAATGGTCTCACTGCAGGCTGTGGGCAAACCCCTCTCCAGTCTGCCACCATCTTCACGTGAGCCAGTTCCCCATTAACTTGGGGGTTTCACAGTGTGAGCTCCATTGCAGTCTCCCACCCTTAGGCAGAGGGCAGGCATGGGCTAACATAGGACGTTGTACGTGATAGGGGGTAAAGGGAGGGTGGACAAAAGGAGAGTAGAAGCATTAATCGGGCTGAGTCATTGGGTCTCCTATGACTTCAAAGCCTTTGTGTGACCAAAATGTGGTCTAGTCAAGCAATAAGCCCCCAATTAAGCATATCCTAAGAGTATGCAAATTGAATTGCAGTATTTCTAAGCATGTAAGTAATAGAAAACATTATTCCCTTACTTTATGATCACTAACATACCTTTTTATCAACAGAAAATGGCTGTGAAGGTAATTGGGAAAAGAATGCGCAGACCGGAAGTTGCTACCAATTTAATACTCAGACAGCTCTTACTTGGAAAGAAGCTTATGTTTCCTGTCAGAATCAAGGGGCTGACTTACTGAGCATCAGCAGTGGTGCTGAACTAACTTACCTTGAAGGTAGGTTTGACCCGCATGTGGTAGAGCCAGTCTCCAAAATTATAAAGATGCTGTCTGTCTTCCTCTACTTTCATATCTAGGTATGTTGTTTTGGGTATACCTTCTTCTCTCTTCTCTTGGAATTTAAACTTCAACACTGACACCCACAAAGCAAAAACGTACCGAATATAATCCTGTTCCATCCATTGAAACGGCATCTTGTAATGGAAACTAAAAAGAGGTTAATGTTCAGAAAACAGGGTGAGGTTGCAAGATTAAACTGCCACCCTAAGCCTAAGTAAACGGATTTCTAGAAAGGTAAACATTAAATTCCTCGAACATTGAAAGTGGGAACTCAAGGAAAGTAAAGAAGATGGCCAAGTCATGCCAGAGAGATGGCCTCAGGCAAAAGTCTCACGTGTGAGTAGACAAGTGCAGTCCTCAGGGCAAGGAGAATTTTCAGAAATCTTAAAGTGGATTTAATGACTTGGACACATGGAGTGTATAGAATTTTGTTTTATTTTGTTTCTGAGATGGTGAACATAATTTTTAAACTTTTAATTATGAAAACATAATTTAAAAATATCACATGGAGCCCTGGCCAGTTTGGCTCAGCGGTTAGAGCGTCCGCCTGCGGTCCGGAGAGACCCGGGTTCGGTTCCCGCTAAGGGCATGTACCTCGGTTGCAGTTTGTCCCCGGCCCTGGTTGGTCGTGCGGGTGGCAGCCACTCGATGTATCCCTTTCACATCGATGTTTTCCCCTCTCTCTCTTTCTCTCTCTCCCTCCCACTCTGTCTGTACAAAAAAAAAAAATATATCACATGGACAAGAATAGAAAATAACTTAATAGACGCCTGTGTAACCACCACCACCACCCTAACTAAATATACATTAACATTTTGTCATACTGCTTTACATGGATCGATTCCTTTCATCTCTCCCTCTTTATCCCTCTCTTCTTCCTGCTTCCCTCCCTTTAAAGAAAGAATGTTAGCAGAGTTCAAGCCCCATACCCTCCTCTCAAAATAGCCATCCCTTGAGTGCTCTTATAACATATATGTGTATAAATCCTATATATGTTTTCATTATGCCATTGCTGTATGTTTTAAAATCATGCAAACACTTTCTTATTCACCCACATATAAGTTTATTTGTTGTCAACTGCTGCTGTATAGTATTACACTGAAAGAATAAACCACAATTTATCCCCTACTGAGAAATAGTCAGTTTTTGCTATCACAAATAGCTCTGCAAAGAACACCCTCATGTGTGCCCCATCAAGCAGACGTGCATGAGTCTCTCTAGAGTAGAAATTGCTGACACGTGGGTTGCACATCTCTTAACCTCTTATCAAATTTCCAAATTGCTTTCCAAAGTGGTTGTATCAGTTTGCACCTCCACTAGCAGTCGACGTTAACAGACTTATTAATTGGGCAATGAGATGAATGTGAAATGGTATTTCATTTTTTGTTTACATTTCCCTGATTGGTAATGTGGTTTTGTATCTTGTGTTTACTAAGCATTCAGGTTTTCCCCTTGGAATTTGCCAGTTTATTGTCCTTTGCTTATTTTCTATTGACTTGTTGACCCTTTTTTAAAAATATTATTGATTTCTTATAATTCTTTATATATTCTGTATATTAATCTTTTGTTGTAGAATTACAAATATATTTTTCTAACCATTGGTCTTTTTGTTATTATTGTTGTTGTTGTTAATGCTCAACTCTTAATCAATATTTTTTCTATTGATTTTTAGAGAGCGTAGAGGGGAGGGAGAGAGGAGGAGAGAGAAAGAAAGAGAGGGAGAAAAATATCGATATGAGAAAGACATATTGACTGGTTGCCTCCCATACATGCCCCAACCAGGGCTGGGGATCAAACCTGCAACCTAGGTACATAGCCTTGACCGGGAATTGAACCTGGGACCCATCAGTGCACAGGCAGATCCTCTAACTGCTAAGCCATACCAGCCAGAGCTAGTCTTTGGTCTTTTCACTTTATTTTTGTTGACATCATAAAAATATGCTAGTTTTAATTTGGTTAAACTCACCAATCTTTTCCATAATGTTTTGTGCTTATTTATATCATTTAGCAAATCCTTTCTTAGTCCTAAAATGATAAAGATATCCTCTCATGTTCTCTTCTAAAAGTTTATTATTTTGCTTTTCACATTTATATCCTTAGTCCATCTGTAAGGTAGTTTGTAGAGCTAGGAATCTAATTTATCTTTCCCTACATGGATAGTCAAGTTTACTAAGCACTACTTATATTACACTTTCCCCTCTGATTTCTTATGCGACCCCTAATAAATATAAACCATCATATGTGGGTTGTTTCTAGGCTCTCCATTTATTCCTTTGGTCTATTTTTCTCTCTGTATCAATTCTACACTGTTTTAGTTAGTTCTGCCTCACAAAGTAAATCTTATTTTCTGAGTGAGCAAATTCTTCCTTATTCATTTTTTTCTTGAATCACCTAGGCTTTTTTTTTTTTTTTTAACCATTCATTCTTTCATATGAATTTAAGGATCACCTTGTTAATCTCGATGAAAAACCCTATTGGGACTTTAGAATTGCATTGAGTTATAGATTAATTAGGAAGGTACTGCTGTCATTACACTTTTAAGTCTTCTAATCCATGAAAACAGTATGCCTTTCTACTTTTTAGGACTTCTTTTATGTGCTCAGTAAAATTCTGTAGGAGTGTTGCACATCTTTTACTAGAAAGTTTATTAACAGAAAGGTTTTACATTATTTTTAAAAATTAAGAAAATCAAGTACTGAGTCCCTGATAATTTCTTCAATGGGCGAAAAAATAATTATAATATATGATGATGATGATGTGTTAGAGAGAGTCCTAAATGTGTTTCATACATTATCTTACTTAATCCCATATAACAACCCTACAAGGTAGGTGTTATTTTTATTATGTTCATTTTCAGATAAGAAATGTGAGACTCAGAGGGGAAATGTAACTTGTTCAAGGTCACACATAAGTAATTAGCAGAGCCAAAATATAAACACAGTCTGACTTGAAAACAAGTTGCATCAGGCATGTACCTACATTCACCTTTTATATGACTCTTAAGTTCTTTACAGGCAGAAATGGGCCTGGTGGGTTGTTTTTTCCCTTTTGCACAAAACTCAAAGCATTATTGCTATGTATTAAATACCTATTGACTAATTCAGAGAAATCCTTTCACATTGTTTTATAATAATCGGAAATATTTGACCAATGCTAACTGTGACAAAGCCCTAATATCTCCAGATAAATTAATGATTTAATAGTATTACAACCTCATAGACAAATATTTCATGCCCATTTACAGATAAGGAAACTGATGCTTAGAAATAATATACCCAGATAGCCAAGAAGTACCAGAATTGGGATTTGAACATCAACATATATAACTCCAGAGACTTACTTTGTATATACTACTTACTCCTCTTACATATCTTTCTCTTCATCATTAAAAGTCTGCTTGGTCTTTTGTCATCCTTTTCAGCTAAAGCCTTCTGAATACCTCTTTAACCTGAATAACTTTAACCTGTTCCTGTATTGTTTAGTACTTGAATAATTAGACCTCTAGAATGGAAATCCATCAAATAAGCCTAATGAGCTAGTGTTTGGCAATGCAATTCTATTCCATTTTTCACGGAAACCTTACCAAAAAGGTTGAGAGTGAAAAGTGCCAATCAATTTAACCCTCCTGGAACATTATTTTTAAAGTGACAATTATAATGAAGGAGAAGTGTCGAGGGGTGACCACCAACACCTTAACAAACAATTTAATGATGCATTTGGAAGAATGAATGTTGCAGGATTTCTTTTCTTTAATAACTCATATAAATGAGATAGTATGTTAAAAGGCCCAGTTGCCCCTATCCCTGGCCAGACACTCCCTACATTTTATGTATATCAATTATTTGAGAGGTATATCCCTTTCTGATGTTTCAAGTTCCTCTTTTACTATGAAATGCTGTTTACACACATCAATATGACTGATTATAATTTCTGATTTCCCAAGACCCAAGAAAGCTGTACTTTAACATCTGAAACTCAGAGTATCCAAATCTTGAAATTTTCTTATAGTTTCTATTAAGCTGCCCTTCACTGAAAACTACCATGAGTAAGCACTGGGCAGGGAGCAGGGAGGCCAAGCAAAGTTAATCAGACAGATTTATGATCAAAGTGCTTGATACATACGGTTGGGGAAATAAGAGTTGTTCGTATGCAGAGCATATTGGAGAATATCATTCCTAACAACCTCTGGCTTGTTAGCTAGTGATTGGCTGAGACCAGGGAATCTGCTGCCAGGAAAAAGAAAAAAAACAGAAGATAAGTCTAATCCAGTCTGAAAGAGCTTTCACTTTCTTTCCACCTGCCCTGCACCTAGTTACGTTTGTTTTGATTTTGTTTTACTGATACAGGAACCTGGGGGTGGGGGACTTGGTTTCTTTATATTCACTAGATTTTGTTTGGGAGACAGATATCTCATGACTCTGACCTTCTCATGGGGACTTTGAAGCATAGATTCACTCCAGAGCTACAAAAGAGGGCCCTGCATCCCTGGAGCAGGGATAGCACATATTCATTTTCCCTAATTTGCCTCCACCTTGATGGGGCTCTTCACTTTGAGCCATTTTGAAGGTGCCCCAAGGCTAGGACCTCTGCTGACTGTTATACTTTTTTGATGCATTAAAGAGGCTCTCATCTGGCTCATCCTAGATGCATCACCATCATCAGGCCCTGCAGTCTTTTATTGTAGAAAGAGGATTAGAAACATAGGTCAGCTCTGAACAGAGGTCTCGGGGACAGTCAAGGAATATCTACCTCAGTGGATTTGCCTATTTGATTAGGCATGAAGATTTATACTAATAATTATCTATTTTTTGATGGCAAAGATGGGGGTAAGTAGAATCTCAAATTGGTCAACTCCTTCCTTGGGTTATATGTCGAAAAAAGTCCAGCTTCATATCGTTCAGGTCATATAAGAAATGCCTGCCCTTTATAATTTATCCATTTCTCGCTCTGGCCAGTTTTGCTCAGTGGTTAGAGCGTCGGCCTGCAGACCAATGAGCTGCAGGTTTGATTCCAGTCAGGGGCACGTGCCTTGGTTGTGATTCATCCCTGGCCCTGGTTGGGGTCGTGTGGGAGGCAGCCACTTGATGTGTCCCTTTTCATGTCGATGTTTCGCTCTCTCTCTCTTCCTCTCTCCCCCTCCCACTCTGTCTGAACAAAAGTGAAAAAATGTCCTTGGGTAAGGATAAAAAAAATAATAAAAATATATTATTTAACCATTTCTCATTCACATCCAGATGGCATAAGACACATAAAAAGCATTCCTGTTTGCTAACCCAGTCACAACTTAGAAACCCTATGATTCTAGTGAAGAATAGGTCATCAATACAAATCATAAATACGACACCGTAATGAAGCACCGTAGGAGCCTGACGGCTTCCAAAGGTCATTTTCCTCTGTTATAACTATGGACTTGCCATGTGCAGATAAGCATTAATAACTTAGAAGGAGGAATAGGATTATTTAGCTATCCTGCTGGGGGATGTCTGAAAGGATTTTATGGAAGGGAAGGCATTGAAACTGGGATGAATGGGAGGGTTGACCCTCCGTGGTATCCCCAGTTAGAAATGACTGAAAGGAGACTTGGCCAGTTTGGCTTAATGGTTTATGCATCAGCCCGTGGACCAAAGGGTCTTGGGTTCTATTCCAGTCAAGGACATGTACCTGGGTTGCAGATTTAATCCCTGGCCCCAACCAGGGTCATGTGAGAGGCAACCAATCAATGTATCTCTCTCACATTGATGTTTCTCTCTCTCTCTCTCTCTCTCTCTCTCTCTCTCTCTCTCTCTCTCTGTCTCCCTCCCTCTCTCCCTCCCTCCCTTCCACTCTATCTAAAAAAAAAATCAATGGAAAAATATCCTTAGGTGAGGATTAACAACAACAAAAAAGTATAAAAGGAATTCTGAACGTCAAAGTATGGTCGAGTCTGTAGTACCATAAATATGTTGTAGTTTCTAGGACTTCTTTAGGAATGCTAGAAAATTAATTGCTTTTACTAATAGGAAGAAATTTACACTTTATTAAATCCTCGAGGTTTTTGAATACCAGTGTTGGCAGCCTTGCTTCTGCTAACAGGTGAAAGAAAAAGGATAGATCCCAAATTCCCTCAAATACCCACCTTCTCCCTCCTTAGCAGAGTATCCTCACCAGCTATTTCCTTGAGAAAAGTGAGACAAAGCCTTACTCCTCATCTGCATACTTACAAATCTATCCGTGGCTGCACTGTCAGCCTCCAGCTTGTTCACGGTTAACTCCTTCCCCAAAGCTCTTTGTGGTCACACCAGCTGCTTCTTCTGTCTCTTATATTTCCATCAACTGTCTCAGATTCTTCCCCAAAAGGCTATAAACTTGTTTAAACTTCTACCGTTAACTCACACACACCCACACCCTAGTTCCTGGAGCCCTATCTTTCTTTCGCAGCCAAGCTCCTAGAAAGCACAGTGTATTTTTGCAGTTTACTCTCATCTTAACCTCACATTTGCTCCTTGGTGGAGCCATGATTGGGCCTTGGCCCTCTCATCCTCCTTCCAGATCCCTGTCCATCCCTTGAACATTGGTGTTTATGTTACTGCTCTGGGCTCCTTTGGTCTTTGCTGTTGCTATTTCTGCTCCACCCAGGGGAACGCGTCCTTTCCCGAGGTGTCAGGGCCCGTGGGTCCTGTTCTAGACATTGAGCTCTAAAGTCTGAAATAAGACAAAAATTGTATCTGGTCAAAATTACCCTCTTTTAAAATGCCCTTAATATATAGACATGGTTTTATATATGCAAATCACACAGGTAGATAAATGGATAGATAATGTGGTTATGGTTTTCTTTGTACAAATCACATAAATATGTATCTACATAAACGTAAAGTATAGATATGGTTTTCCTCATGCAAATCACACAGATATATCTGAGATATATATATATATAAAATGAAAAAAATTATATATATATATCAGGTATATCTGTGTGATTTGCTGGTACAAAACATATCCATACTTTAAGAATCATTTATGTTTGTGTAATTTAATGTACATATAAATTCTATAAAATTTAACTATATTTTATATGTATATATCGATGATTATATGTAATACAATAATACAGTATATATAATTCCCTGGGAGGAATTAAAAAACTGTTATTAAGTGTTTTACTGCTGAGAATATATATATTTTTTTATCCTCACCCGAGGACATTTTTCCATTTTTTTGTTCAGATAGAGTGGGAGGGAGAGAGAGAGAGAGACATCAACGTGAAAGGGACATATCAAGTGGCTGCCACCCGCACAACCAACCAGGGTCAGGGACAAACTGCAAACGAGGTACACGCCCTTAGCAGGAACTGAACCCCGGTCTCTCTGGACCGCAGGCCGATGCTCTAACCACTGATTAAAACTGGCCAGGGCACTGCTGAGAATATTTTTTAAAATCTGTAGAGATTCCAACCTGTGAGCTCCTCCTGTTTGTCAATATCATCCTTGTCTTCTGTAGACCATTTCATCTGTTGCTCTGTCTCTTCTACCTAGCCCTGAGTATCTTCAGATTATTCCTTCATGATATTGATGAAGTCTTACCAGGTTCTTGAATAATTCTGTTGACTCCCTTGACAGTGGTGTGAAAATCCTTATAATAATTACAATTTTTTACATGTTTTCCGAATGGACCCATATAAGTATGATTAGATCCATTGCTTATGGGCATATGCATATTAGGTGGCTTTTCTGCAATTAGCCTCACTATTTAAGTTGTTTCTGATTCTTTATCTTCCTCTTTTTTTTTTTTTTGCTGATGGCATCTTATTGTCAAACAATAAATTAAAATGACATCTCTCCACAGTGGTGTGTATGTCTGTGTGTATACGTGTGCGCATGTGTGCGTCCATCATTCTGTATCTCCAGTTTAAATGTCTCCTTTGGACTCTACAGATGTACATTTCTACCAAACAGCTCCTGTACGTATTTCTGAAACAGTAGTGGTAAAACTTTACCATCCGGGGACATTCACATCTGTTTCTACTAGATTAAAATCCTCAGAGGGCAGGACTGTTGTTTTGGTTTTTATCTTTAGTATCTGGCTAATGATATGTACTTATGAGTTTTTTTTTTAATTTTTTTCTTTATTGATTTTAGAGAGAAAGGAAGGGAGAGGTAGGGAGAGATGGAAACATGGATGGGAAAGAACATCAGTGGGCTGCCTCCTGCATGCCCCCCACTGGGGATTTGGCCCACAACCTGGGCCTGTGCCCTGACTGGGAATTGAACCGGTGACCTTTTGGTACATGGTTGATGCTCAACCACTGAGCCACAATGGCCAGGCTGTACTTATGAGTTTAAACTGTCAGTCTGAAATACAGTCAGATCTTCACAATCTAGCGCTGGCCCGCATGGCTCAGTTGGTTAAGCGTCATCCCATGCACTGAAAGAACAACAGTTTGATTCCCATTCGGGGCACAAGCCCAGATTGGGGACCCGATACCCAGTAGGTGATGTGCAGGAGGCAGCTAACTGATATTTCTCTTTCACATGGATTTCTCTCTCTCTCCTCCCTTCCTTTCTTTCTGAAATAAATAAAAACTTATGTATTTTTTAAATTTAGGTTTTCAATGGAAACTACTTTTATATATATAACTGCTTTTTTGTTGTTGTTGTTGTTAATTCTCACCTGGGGATATTTTTCCATTGCTCTTTAGAGAGAGTGAAAGGGAGGAACAGAGGGAGACAGAGAGACATCAATGTGAGAGAGACATATTGATTGCTTGCCTCCTGCATGACCCCAACTGGGGATGGAGATCGAACCTGCAACCCAGGTACATGCCCTTGACTGGGAGTCAAACCCACGATCTTGGCTTTGAGGGCCAACACTAACCTCTCAGCCAAACTGGACAAGGCTGCTTTCATTTTCAATTACAGTCGACATACAATATTATGTTACTTTCAGGTGTACAGCACAGGGATCAGACATTATAAAGTGATCACCCAGACAAGTCTAGTAGCCATCTGAAACCATACATAGTTATTACAAAATTATTGACTATATTTCTTGTGTTGTACTTTACATCCCTGACGAAACAACTGCCTTCTGACAGAAGGATTTAAAGTAGTGAAACGGCTATTCCGAGAAGAGCCTGTTTTTGCCTTAGAAGAAAGAGAATGCAAACTGCACTGGGTGATGGGAAAGTGGAATGAACTGATCAGCCCTTGGGTCTCTCAGCAGCCTGAGGCTTGGTTGCCTCTCAGCATCACTGGGGTTTGTGGGATAGATAGCCTCCTAGACAGTCTGTCTGATATAATAACTTAGGTAACGTTGTCACTTGTTAAAATTATGTCGTTACAGAAAAAGAAGGCATTGCAAAAATTTTCTGGATTGGCTTAAATCAGTTGTACTCTTCTAGTGGCTGGGAATGGTCAGACCACAAGCCATTAAACTTCCTCAACTGGGACCCAGGTAACTGCTCTCTTCTCTACCTACTATTCACAGAGCAAAAACCTCAAAAAAAAAAAAAAAAAAAAAAGCTTCCCACTCACTGAAATCTTATAAACATTTCAAACCTTGAAAATTCTTATAATGGTTACTTTCAGAAGAACTTTTTTCTAAGTTCTTCTTAGGCTTAGTCATTATAACCATTATGCCGTCATAGTCAAGTTGATACCATTATAGCCAAGTTGAACCACACCGTGTTGCATTTTTGTCTAACCTGTAAAGCAACCTTATATTTTTTAAGTAAGAACAGAATAAGCCCCATCACATGGCCCAGGAGCCATTCTGTGTCCCTTAGGGACTTGACATGTCTATGACTAATGTGTTTCTTCTGCAGCTTAACTCTAACATGGAAATGTTCCCTCATTTAAAACTCTTGGGGGCTTCCTCTGTAGCAGTCAATTACTGACAACATAATGGTTATATTTTATTTTATTTTTTTTAAATTAATTTTTGTTACAGATGTTTCTCCTTTTTCCCCCACTGATTCCTCCCTCCCTCTCCCTCCCCGCCCTGTCCCCAGTTTGTTGTCCATGTCCACTGTTCATGCATACATGCATATAAGTTCTGTGGTTTATCTCTCCCCCACCATCCCCTCTATTGGGGATTGTCAGTTTGTACCCCACCTCCACGTCTCTGGGACTACCCCATTCCTCAGACTGTTATGTTCATTATATTCCACAAATAAGTGAGATCATATGATACTTGTCCTTCTCTGTTTGGCTTGCGTCACTCAGGATGATACTTTCCAGGTCCCTCCATGTAGTCTCAAGGACAAGAGATCTTTCTTTCATAGAGCTGCATAGTACTCCATTGTGAATATGTACCCCAGCTTTTTTATCCATTCGTCTACTGAAGGACACTTGCACTGTTTCCAGATCTTAGCTATTGTAAATAGTGCTGCTACAAACATAGGGGTACATATATTCTTTCTGATCGATGTTTCAGGCTTCTTAGGGTATATTCCTAGAAGTGGGATCACTGGGTCAAATGGAAGTTCAATTTTTAATTTTTTGAGGTAACACCATATTGTTTTCCACAGTGGCTGCACCAGTCTGCATTCCCACCAGCAGTGCACTAGAGTCCCCTTTTCTCCACACCCTTTCCAACACTTGTTTGATGATTCGTTGACGGCAGCCATTCTGACAGATGTGAAGTGATACCTCATTGTTGTTTTAATTTGCATCTCTCTGATGATTAGTGATGATGAGAATTTCTTCATATGTCTCTTAGCCATGTTTGGAGAGGTGTCTATTTATTTCCTCTGCCCATTTTTTAATTGGGTTCTTTGTCTTCCTTTTGTGGAGTTGTATGAGCACTCTATATATATTGAAAATTAACCCCTTATCTGATATATCATTGGCAATTATGGTCTCCCATACAGTGGGTAGCCTTTCCGTTTTGATGATTGTATCTTTCACTTAATGGTTATATTTTATAACACAAATAAATACCTTAAAGAAAGATTTGTAGTAAATAAAACCCTAGTTAGCCAAAAGGTATTTTTCCCAAAAGGAAGGTTTAGATACCTTTTTAAGAAATAAAATCTTAGGCCTCTGGCAAATGTAGAACCTTAGCTTCAGCACAAAAGTATTCTGCACACATATAAGAAAAATGAACTAAGTACAATAAAATACCAATAGTCATTTTACTTTAATAAAATTTCATCATGAGTAATTCAAGGCCTTAAAGGCATTACAGACCATCAAGTAGTATATGTATAGAGTAGCAGAGGAAGAGCTGCTAACCACAGAATATGACATCAAATAAGGGGTTAATTTTCAATATATATATAGAGTGCTCATACAACTCAACAAAAGGAAGACTAAGAACCCAGTTAAAAAATGGGCAGAGGAGCTGAATAGACACCTCTCCAAAAAGGACACACAAATGGCCAAGAGACATATGAAGAAATGCTCAACATCACTAATCATTAGAGAGATGCAAATTAAAACTACAATGAGGTATCACCTCATACCTGTCAGAATGGCCACCATCAACAAATCATCAAACTACAAGTGTTGGCGAGGGTGCGGAGAAAAGGGGACTCTGATACACTGCTGGTGGGAATGCAGACTGGTGCAGCTGCTATGGAAAACAATATGGTGTTACCTCAAAAAATTAAAAATTGAACTTCCATTTGACTCAATGATCCCACCTCTAGGAATATACCCTAAGAAGTCTGAAACACCAATCAGGAAGAATATATGTACCCCCGTGTTCATAGCAGCACTATTTACAATAGCTAAGATCTGGAAACAGCCCAAGTGTCCATCAGTAGACGAATGGATCAAAAAGCAGTGGTACATATTCACAGTGGAGTACTATGCAGCAGTAAGAAAGAAAGATCTCTTATCCTTTGAGACGACATGGAGGGACCTGAAAAGTATTATCCGAAGTGAAATAAGCCAAGCAGAAAAAGACAAATACCACATGATCTCACTTATATACGGAATATAATGAACATAACAATCTGAGGAATACGGTAGACCCAGAAACATGGAAGTAGGGCCAGACTGACATCCGTCAGAAGAGGGTGTGTGGGGGGGAGAGATAAACCACAGAACTTATGTGCATGTATGCATGACCAATGGACATGGACAACAAAGCTGGGGACGGGGCGGGAGTGAGGTGATGAGGAGGGTGTCAATGGGGTAAAAAAGGAGAAACATCTGTAACAAAAAAAATAAATAAATAATTTAAAGACAGAAAAGAAAATACTAGAAGTAAATATAGCAAAGTAAAAAAAAAAAAAGAATATGACATCCAAGTTGACTGGGGGCAAAGGTTTGGTTTTGGTTTTGGTTTTTAGATTTAACTACAGTGCATCAGAGGCTTTCGCCCTGTATCCTGTATTTTAGAAGAAAGACATATTTAAGCACATGATTGTCCATTGAGGCTTATGCATTTCAACTTAGTAGAAGGTTTTAACTATTTCATGAGTTCCCGTGAAAGTACAAAATTAAAAACACAAATAATTTTTTTCTAACTATCACTCTGGCTCTAAACTTCCCCTTTTCACTGTTTGAAAATCTTATCATTTAAGATATGCCCAGTGCATCTGGAATAGGCGGGTCCAGCTGTGCAATCATGGACGCCACCTCTGGTCTGTGGCAGAGGCGTTCCTGTGAGGCTCAACTGCCCTACGTCTGTGAGAAATCATTAAATACCACAGTGGAGTTAACAGGTACCTTTCCTACTCACTTGTACAAATAGGTCTTAAAAATTACAGTTTTGTGAAGTCAAGTAAATGCATTTTGGATGTATATTTCTACCGTTCTTTTATTTAGTACTGCCAATGCTGAAGAGTATTAACTTTGACCCTGTGGTTAGATGTTATCAACTCTATATGAATAAAGCTTTGCTTTGGTATATCCCCAGAAAAAGACAGAGGTATTCTAAATAAGAAATACATTTCTGTGCACAGGTGGCTCTGTTTTCTCTGGAGCAGTGGTTCTCCAAGGGTGGTCCCCACACTGAGAGTGTCGGCACAACCTATACTTGTTGAATGTAGATGCTCAGGACCTGGGCCACATTCCCGGAATCAGAAACTCTCAGGGTGGGGCCCAGCCATCTGTATGTTATAAAGCGTCTTGGTGATGTCTCTGCACACTCGGGTCTTCCGTAGTATGACCTGCCTCTGTAAGAAGTCATGCATGACGGACACGAGAACATTCCCAGCTTTCCCACCTCCCCACATCCCCACCTCTCTTCTGTCCTCGCCAGCCTGGCTCTCTAGGTCTTCATGCTGATACATTGGGTAGAGAAGGAGAGGTGCGAAAGGACAAAATGTGTGCGGGGTGGGGGGGGGTAGGGCGTTTGGGGGTAAGAGGGACACAGAGCAGCTGAACTTTTGAGGAGCAGAGAGTTTGAGGTGCCCTGACTGTCCTGCACAGTGCCTACCATGTCCCTAGTATTTGATTAAATCCTGAATGAGAAAAACTAATACTCCAAACTGGGAGGAAAGGGGGAGATTTTAAATGTTACGCCTTAAGGGATGCTGGGGGAAAGGAATAAAGCATATATCTTCTTATCCACATAGGCGCATAAAGCTATATTTTTAAGATTAAAAAGTAAGTATATAGAATCAAGAATATAGGGGGATGTTTTTACATAATAGGGGGAAATGATCTTCCAAGTTGATTCATATCAAATTTAGTTTATATAACAAAGGGCGTAATAGATAAGACAGTGCAAATGAGAGTAATCCAAGGTGGCTAAATATAGATCACATAAGTATTCTGTAGTAGTAATTATTAACTAAATCATGATGTTTCCACATGACTGAATAATATACATTTATTAAAATAACTCTGCCAGCAGGAAAGTAAAAAGAGCAAAACAAAATTATATGCCTATTTATCACTTTAATCTTGTAAAAATATGAATTCATAGAGACAAAGACTGGAATAGGAAGATGATTGTTTTAAGTTCAATTACGGGTGGTTTTCCCCTCAGTGTCTTTATCATAATTGTAAAATATAATAATAAGTGCTGTTTCAGAACTTTACAGTTGAGTTATCTTACAAGTGTGAGCTAGCTGAACCTGAATTTTATCCTTTAGTAAAAAACAAATTATCAAAATGAGCAAGCAGAACAGAAACAGACACACAGATACAGAGAACTTTTTGTTGCTTGCCAAATTATCCACAGTTTTAAGATTCTGTGTTTCGTACAAGAAACATTCCAAATGGTTCCGATCCATGAAATCGGAATAACCGAGCTACTTTCTAGTTCCGCTGCGAGGGGTAGAGTATTTTGAGTGGTCTTGTGCACCGCTCTTTTTCTCTAATCTTTTTTTACCATTATTTGGTTGAGTTTCCTCATGGTGAAAACGAAGAATCACTAATTTGTGAGGGCTAGCGGTCAAGCAGAGGAGGAGAGAAGAAGGCCTACACTGGCCTCCCCCAACAGCTGCCCTCCCTGGGTGTGCAGTGTATACCCACACTCTGTTCCTTAAGTCCCTGCCCATCATTATGAACAAAAGAAGCATTCATTTGAATAGTGAGTATGAATGCACATCCCCGGCTAAGCTGACTATACATGAAAAGGAGGCTCGACCTCATCATCTCTCAGAGGCCGAGACTGGAGGGGAACCTAGCAAATCCCGTGCCAAGGAAGAGATCTGAGCGCAACTGGCTTACCCCACACCTTCCTTCTGCCTGCTAGGACTACAGGCAGTCTCGCTTCAAGTAGTCAGAACCCATCCACGAAGCACATTTGCATCGCATCCAAGTCAGATCATTATCTGAATCCCTGCAGTCACTCTATGATGCTATGTAGACATTGGGCGCCCCCATAAATTCATATCACTATACTGTCTGACATCACATTCCCTAGCTTTTCAGACGCTTTATGAGTCAAGAAAGAGGAATTTGTAATGTGGATTCAAAATAGATCTACCTTTACTGGAATATAAATAGCTGCTTCTCTCCCAGATGTGTGGACATACTCAGATACTCGCTGCGATGCAGACTGGTTGCCGAATAATGGGTTTTGCTATCTGCTGGCAAATGAAAGTGATTCCTGGGATCTGGCACATGCAAAATGCAAAGCCTTCGGCAGTGACCTCATCAGCATTCATTCTTTAGCAGATGTGGAAGTGGTTGTGACAAAACTTCATAATGGGGGTAAGTTTTAAATATATCCTCTTTGAGAGATTTAACACAGTTTAAAGTATTCCTGTTTTCAAACTCTTACTGGGAATGAACAGCTCACAGTTTGATCCTTGTAGCTCAGCAATGTCCAATAGAATGTTCTGCAAAGATGAAACTGTTCTTTCCGCGATCCGTGCTGTCAGTGTGGTAGCCACCCCTCTCGTGGCTTTTGAGCACTTGAAACGTAGCTGCGGCAACCGAGGAACTGAATTTTTACTTTTACTTCATTTTCATTAATTTGCAAATTTAAATAGACACCTTGGTAGCTAGTTGAAGTGATGGTTATTTCACTTTTGTAATTATTTGAAAGCTAAAGACTGAAGAACAAAATTGTATTACACTGCTAGTATTATAACCTCCTCCTAGGATTCGCTAATAATAACAGCTGATAGTAGATACCTATTCTGTTGTCAGCATGGTGTGGATTGTTTTACCAGGGTAGTGATGGACAATGTTCTTATTCTAATTGGAGCATCTACCAGTGTCTCTGTATATTTTATTATTCCCCGTAAACAAGAATTGCCCAACCCAGATGTCGGGAACAGCCAGCCTACAGGTCACAGTACAGCTGTCCCCCCTGTGCGCTCTACCTGCCCGAGTGACCTGGGAAGCCCTCATCACTCTGCCTGCCTAACTTATCAACATTTTAACAGGTTAATTAAGAGTGCCGAAGGGATGGTTACAAGAGGGAGGAGGTAGGGAGATGGTTAAAAAGAGGAAGAGAAATACAGTCGATAACATTGTGATAAATTTACATGGTGACGGAGGGTTACTGGAATTCGTGGGGGAGATCACATTGTAACGTATATAAATGTCAAATCACTGTATTGTACACCTGAAACTGACATAACCAATATAAGATTTTATACCAAATATACTTAAATTAAAAATAAATAAATAAAAAAGAATACCATCTTCTGAATTAAAACTTTAAAAGAAAAAAATAAAGAATACCAACAAGGTTCTTAAAACCCCATATCAGAATGTAAAAATCAGTAACAATGTACACATTGAAGTATGTAATTGAGTAAAACCAAACAAGCAAAACGTTTTTCTTTTAGATGCCAAAGAAGAAACATGGACAGGTCTTAAGAACATAAACACACCAGCTTTATTTCAGTGGTCAGATGGTACCGAAGTTACTCTAACATATTGGGATGAGAATGAGCCCAGCATTCCCTACAATAAGACTCCCAACTGTGTTTCCTATTTAGGAAAGGTAGGAAACCTCCTGGGGGTTATTTATATTCAAATAATAATCTTTGGTGGGGATGTTTGTGTTTAAGCTGGAAAATAAAATAAAAGGCAAGAGCCTTGTAGATGGTCTTTCTGGTAGCTACTGAAAAAAATAAATAAATAAAAAGGAAATAAAACAATGACTAAGCAATTCACTTTCTGTCTGAGAGAATCTGCCCTGGTCTGAAACAGACCATGAGGATCCCTTTATTTTTTTATTTTTTATTTTTTTATCCTCACCCGAGGACATTTTTTCTATTGTTTGTTCAGATAGAGTGGGAGGGAGAGAGGAAGAGAGAGAAGGAGAGAAACATCGATGTGAAAGGGACACATCGAGTGGCTGCCACCCGCACGACCAACCAGGGCCAGGGACAAACTGCAACTGAGGTATGTGCCCTTAGAAGGAACCAAACCTGGGTCTCTCTGGACCGCAGGCCAATGCTCTAACCGCTGAGCCAAACCAGCCAGGGCATGAGGATCCCTTTAGAACTCAGATTCTTGTGCCAGGTGGTTCTAATTAAGATGCATCGTCCTGTACACCAAAAGGTGGTGGGCTCATTCCCAGTAAGGGCACTTGCCCAGGTTGCCGGGTTTGATCCCCAGTCAGGGCATGTTTGGGACGCAACTGATGGATGTTTCTCGCATGTTTCTCTCTTTCTCTCTCTCTCTCTCCTTCCTCCCTCTCTCCTCACCCTTTCCTTCCTTTCTCTAAAATCAATCAATACATAAAAGAAGTAAAAATACTTTTAATAAAAATACTTTTATTAAAATTTAGGTCTAACTCGTTCAGAGAGCATCTTATTCTTACAGAATGCTTAAACATTCATTGCACATGCTTTAGTTATGAGTTCAACACAAGCTGTATCTTAGCAGGAAGGACTGTATGCCTCTCTATTTTGTTTGTATCACTTTCCTGTAAACTTCTAATTATTTAGGAAGCTGATTGTGTTGCCTAACCTAGAAAGACTTCAGTAGAGGCTATTAGTGGTATCTGTATTTAGAAGTATTTCAAGGATAAAGATGCATTTAGAAAGTTGTCAAAGATGAATTTAGAAGGTTGTCACATTTAATGTTCTATTTAAAAGAATATCTAAGATGCCTTTAGGAAAGTGTCAAAGGTAGAAATGACTTCCCACTGGCAAGTGTGAACTGATAACATACCTCGGCAGCATTCCAGTGTCCAACTAGAAAGCTCTGTTCTCAGAAACCTTAGCAAAACTGACTTACTAAAATTTAATTTGAAGAAAGCAGGATGGTTTTAATCAATTAAGCAAAAAGAAATATTAAGTAGTATATTTGAAAGAGAGAACTTTGAATTCGAAGCTGAAGTAGAGTTGGAAGAACTGTTGATTCTAGAATTCCTGGAGAGTAGCTCTTCTAACCATAATCATCTTACATCTGAGGACACCGGCAGGGAGGTTAGTTGACATGCTCAAAGTCTTTAGCCTGTGGACCAACTCTGGCCATGTCCTATGGAAGAATATTAGAACATGGGCAACTGTTTGTGAGCTGAGTTCTTCTCTCTCCAACTTCTATCCTATGACGATTTCAGTTTTGCTTTTATAAGAAAATAGAATGCATCCCCCTTGTGACCTTGAGGTAATTCTGAAATAATGTAGCCTGGTTGGGTAGCATTTTCTAGGAGTATGTTCTCAGATTTTATCCTTCATTTATATTTATTCTCTCCCTATCGCTCTCTTTCTACCCCTCCTCCTCTGCTCCCCACCCCCATAGTTTTGTGAGAAGAAGCTATCTTGACTTAAAATAAGTTAGAGTTCAATTCTAAATATATGGCAAATAATATCTCTGTGGGAAAATTTTTTTCTATTTTTTTTTAAAGCTAGGTCAGTGGAAAGTCCAGTCGTGTGAAGAGAAACGTAGATATGTATGTAAGAAAAAGGGAGAAAAAATGAGCGATGCAAGTGCTGATAAGATGTGTCCTCCAGGTGAGGTATGTAAAAACTCCTGCATACATTTTTCTAAGCAGAATTACACCTTCTTGGTAAGGGATGGTGATTGAGACTTCAACAAGTCTGATTTGGAACATGGAAGAATTAATAACTTCTGTTCATTTATGTTAGAGCAAGCCAGAGTGCAGTAAATTATGACATATCAGTGTTGTTACAGAAGAAAAAAGAGATGCCTATTTATATATTTCTATAAAAATGTATATGGTTACTATCCTCAATGCTGATATCTTTACTTCCCTTACTTATGTATTCCTGTTCAAAAATAATTCCACCCACAACTTTCTACTCTTATGACGAGCTAGGCGCTAAGGGTCAAGACAACGCCTTCTATCACGCAGGCTCACAGTCCTGTGGAGGTTCTCTAGGAAATTGTACCCACCCTTATCATGCGTAGGAATTCATTGCCCATGTCCTTAGTTTTCATACGTTGTGAGATGTTAGCAGAATCTTGCTTGTCACGGGGGCATCATCAAATCTGGAAGGCGGTGTGACAGTCAGTATTTCTCCTCTTATTCAGGGCTGGAAGAGACACGGAGAAACCTGTTACAAGATTTACAAGGATGAGGTCCCTTTTGGAACCAACTGCAATCTGACTATAACTAGCAGGTGTGCGATCAGTAAACATGTACTAGTGAACTTTTAACTCTGGATTCCTTTGCTAAATAATCTTCCTAAGAAAAATGTGGATCTTCTATTTTACTAGTAATTTGATTATTGTAAAAATACCTACTAATTTGACTTTTATTTTGTAGATTTGAGCAAGAATTCCTGAATGATATGATTAAAAAGTATACTAAATCTACAGAAAAGTACTTCTGGATTGGCCTGAGAGATGTAGATTCAAATGGGGAGTACAGCTGGGCAAGTGTTGGTGGAGTAAAGCGGTCTGTAACCTTTTCCAACTGGAATTTTCTTGAGCCAGGTGAGTGTCTCAGCCTTTATTATTTTAATCTTCACCCGAGAATATTTTTCTATTTATCTTCAGATAGAGTGGGAGGGAGAGAGGAAGGGAGCAAGGAAGAAACACCCTTGTGAGAGAGACACATCGACCAGTTGCCTCCCACACGACCCAACCAGGGCCCAGGACAAACTGCAACTGAGGTACGTGCCCTTGACCGAAATTGAACCCGAGATTCATTGGTCCATAAGCCGACATTCTAACCACTGAGCCAAAAAGACCAGGGCAGAGTGTCTCAGCCTTTAAAGGAATAGAATACAGTGACCTGTGCCATGCAGCATCCCTCCCAAATACGTTCTTTACTTACCTTTGAAATGTGAGGGAAACTACAGCCTTTAAAACTAGACTCTATCTGTGGGACCATAAATGAGTATATCTTCCCTATTAAATCCTTGGGAATAATAACCCAATAAAAGAAGCTGGAAAACTCAATTCTCAGAAACCACCATCTCATGACATAGAGCTAGAACCCTCAGTGTCAGTTTTTTAAAATCTTTTTCATGTAAATCCCAAGCAGAATCTGGAAGCTTCATTGCGAAGCACTTTATATTTTCAGCTCTCTGCTTCTTAACTTCTTTCTCCAAAACTGAATGTGTTTGCTTCCATTATCCTCAGTGGGTGAGAATTAAGAAGGCCATATATTGTAGGTATTATTTATTCTGAAAGTTTTTCATCCCCCTCTAAGTAGCATTGACCATAATTAGCCTTAGAATCAGAACATTTGAGCCCAGAGGACCTCAGAAGTCCCCCTTATGTTCTTAGAGTTGAGAAAACACAGGTTTTAAAAGGTGATTTAGTTGACAAAGGTGACCTGGTTATTGAATTGCTAAAATCTAGATCTCCAGATTTCTAATCCAGTGCTTTTTAGAGGATTTTCACTTTGTATAAGACAGCAGCTATACAGGGTTCAACTGTTTTCCCTTTGAATTATTTATATTTTCTTGTGTTTGTACAATGTGGTTATGGAGACCAATTTTCATAACACAGAAATTAAAACTTGTGAGTGTATAATTAAACACAACATTTGAAACAAAGAATGCCCACAAAATTTGTAACATATGGTCATCATCATAAATATGAGTGATATTGATAACAAAGTCATCTTTTTCCTTGTATAAGATGAATGAGACAGATGTTAATCCTGATTAAATTTCATCTTGAATTAAAATTTTCTTATATGTAAAACACATGTGATTTCTTTTATAGATATTCAGACATCTTAAAATCAATGTCACATTCTTCAGAGATAAGCCTTGGTGGTTGGAGAGGTGCTCAGGAAGTAACTGTAGTGTCTATTCTCTCAGTCCTGTGGCCAGAAAGCCTGACATTGAGCTTTTTTTTTAATGCATTTTTTAATTGGTTTTTTTTAGAGAGAGAGTAAGGGAGAGGGAGAGAGAGATAGAAACATCGGTGAGAGAGAGAGAGAAGCATCAACATGATAGGCTGCCAGGCACATTAAGCTTTTTTTATTTTTTTTTTTTAACCATTATTACTCCCAACTTCAACCAGCTTGGTCTATCATGCATAAGCCAAGGATAGGAAGCAGAACTGGAGAAAAATAGCACCTTCCTCCAGGTAACACACATTATTTTTCCCAGGTCCTTGCTCCTCTTGCTGTCCATGTGTAAGAATGAGACATGAGACCAAATGGTTTTCCTGCTGATGGAATACAGTTGTCTTCATTACTTCCAGTGTGTGCTCTAGTCTTCCGCCCCCTTGAGGCAGTGTGATGCAATGGAAAAGGGAGCATGCCACTTTGCCAGACTAACCTGGGTTTCAGTCCTCGCTCTGCCACCCACTGGCTATGATTGTGGGCAGATCACTTATTCTTATCTGGAAAATGGATCTGATAATACAAATAATCTTTTAATGTTTTATGAATAAATAAAATTCTGGCGGCCACAAAATAAATAGTAAACATATATATACCTCCTCTACCTTTATTGTACCAGCCCTTCCTTTGGATCTGAGTCTGTAAGAGGTTTGTTCTGAGGTGTCCTTGCTTAAAAACTGTTCAAAATGGTTCAAAGCTAATATGAACCACTTACGCTCTGCTGAGCAGTGTAGTGCTTTAGGGTACAGCTCTGCCCACAGGCCACCTGGATTCCAGTCCGGGATCGACCACTTGCTAACATGAGGACACACAGCTAATCCTCACTGTACCTCGGTATGACAACAGAATGCACTGTACAGGGTGTTTTGTGAGGATTCGATTCATTTAATCCTCTTAGAATAGTACCTGGCAAGTAGCAAACACTTCTCCATATTACCCTTGTTGTCATCATGTCAACATAATTGTTATGAATGACACATTTCTTTCCTGTTCTCTCTCCCCGCCTTGGCTCACATAAAGAGTAAGGACACTAGAAAATTTTTGGACTTCCATTTTAAAATGTGATTTTTAATTCACCTTCCCATTCATCCCCAGCTTCTCCGGGCGGGTGCGTGGCTATGACTACTGGAAAGTCTCCTGGGAAGTGGGAGGTAAAAGACTGCAGAAGCTTCAGAGCACTTTCCATCTGCAAGACGGTCGGTGGGCCTGCTGAGCCTGAGGAGGCCGCCCCCAAGCCTGAAGACCCCTGTCCCGAAGGCTGGGAGAATTTTCCCTCGGGGCTTTCTTGTTATAAGGTAACGTAACATTCTCACTCAGTCCCTCAGTGAACCTATTCTTTTACAATCCAAGTCTGTGTCTTCGTACAAACAATGAGGTATATATGTAACCTACCCAAGTGTTTGGGAGCACAGCGTCCTTGTCAGGGAGAGCATCACTGGGTCTCCGGCATCCGACGGCCCTTCCCACATGACCTCACGTCCTGCCCGGAGAGCAAGCAGAGGCAGACTGGCTCTTCCCGGTGGTTCTTTTGTTCCGGGAAGCTGGGTGAGCTTCACGCCATGCTGAAACTTTGCTTATGATTCTCATACCCCTCTGGTTCTTGTTAGCAAATGAGTTCTTGTTATCATAGCCACTGTCACTTCTTACAATGTAAAAAATACATATATTATTTTAGGGTCTTTGTCAGTTAACTGTTTCCACAAAGAAATCATTACATATCACCCCAAAATTCAAGGACTATGACAACAAACAGGACAGAGAGTGTTTGATTGATAGAGTTTGGGCTTGAATGGTCAGCTCTGCTTTCACTGTGGGTCAGCTCTGCGGGGCTGCAGGCTCTGAGTTGAGATCTGCTGTCCTTCAGTTTGGGTCTCAGGCTGAGCGAGCAGCAGCCGTCAGGGGCTTGTTCATCTCAATCATTGGAGCCTGAGAGGCAAGCCCAACCGTGTGAACACATTTGAGGCCTCTGATATCCCATTGGTCACAGCAAGTCACGTGGCAGAGCCCCAAGTGAATGTACACAGAAGTTTACTTCACCCACCTGGAGACCATGGCAAGAATACATAATTATATCACAGAGAACTGAGAAACCAGGACCAATAATTCAATCTACCATTGTGTCATCTGCTTCTCCTCTTCTTTTACAATGACTGTGGTTCTTTTGGCATAAAATCAGTCATCATAAGTCAAAGAAATGGTCTAAAGTTGCAAGTTTTGTTGCCACCTTCTGTCAGTGTTCACACATCAGTGCCGTCTGCCCTTTGATTCTTCTTCATCAGAAAATAGTTCTGTACTTACTGTGCAGCTCTCAGTGTATTATGTTTTGAGTTATATTGTTAGCACTTCTTTACAGAAGTCTCCTCCCAAACCATTCATATGTATCCTTTAAAGCCGTATCTAAAGAGGTTCACTTGACCTCTCCCGGTCCTAGGAATGCAGGAGAACATGCTATTTAATTGGGGTGTTCCCCAGCCTGACAGGAAGGTCATCGCTCTGAAAACAGTGGCTGGCACCTGTGCTGGCCTTCAGTGACACTCCAGTAGGACCTGTCTGTGACACAGTATATGCACATTTACCTACATCCCCATTACACCTGAAAAATCCATTTCAGGGGCCCATACATTTTACTGTAATTGATTTTTAAATTATGGATCTTTCATATCAGAAAACAAATTAACATTCTATTTTGTTAAGTTATTTCACATAGAAAGAATTATAAGAAAGAGGAACTGGGAAGAAGCTGAAAGATTCTGCCAAGCACTTGGAGGACACCTTCCTAGCTTCCTTCATGTGGAGGAAATAAAGGAATTTCTTCACTTTTTAATGAACCATTTCAGGTAATTCTTTTAGGAGATTGTCTATGCTAAATTAGATGTTTCTGGGTATTAAGATTGACATGTTTTATTATCTAAAAGGGCCATTCGGTACTTAGCAGTCATTGAATATCAAGTATTTTTGTATGTAAGACACTGTGAGGGATTCAGACATAAGGGAGACAGAGGCCCCACCCTTTGCACAGTGTAATCAAGTTCAACCATGGGGATAAGAGAATTATAGTGGAAAATCTAGCACATAGGTAAAAAGGGGCCATTGGAATTCAGAGGAGGGAGAAAGCATTTCTGGGAGGATTTTGTAATTGGAAAAAATGTTATGAAAAAGGATGTTCTTGGAAAGTAAGATAGTATTTTGAAAGGTAAAATAGGAGAAGGAGCAGGGAAAACAGAATGTAATGTAAGCAAAGGTACAGAGACCAGAACATACAAAAAAAAAAAAATCCATTGATGATTAAACCATGAAAATAAAAAAGGAAACAGATACTTAAAATGAATCCTGAGTAGGGGATTATAAAATCCATTTCATGAAAAAAAAATTTAATTGGTGAGATTACTATGCATTATTTTATGCTATTATACGTGGAATTATTAAATGAACAATCTCTAGGGAAATACAAATTATTATACAACTGATTTGAAAAGTAGAAACCAAATAATCCAATAGCCATGGAAGAAACTGAAAAAGTTGACAAGCCCTGGCTGGTTTGGCTCAGCCGTTGGAGTGTTGGCCTTCAGACCAAAGGGTTGCAGGTTCGATTCCTGGTCAAGAGCACATACCTGGGTTACAGGCTGATCCCCGGCCCCAGTGGGGGTCAGACGGGAGGCAACCACCCCATGTGTCTCTCTCACATTGATGTTTCTCTTTCTCTTTCTCTTTCTCTTTCTCTTTCTCTCTCTCTCTCTCTCTCTCTCTCTCTCTCTCTCTCTCACCCCCCCTCCCTCACTCTTCTACTCTATCTAAAAAGCAATGGAAAAATATCCTCGAATGAGGATAAAAAAGAAAACATTGATAAAGAATATTTTCCAATAAAGCAATGGGAACTATATAGTTCTATATGTGAATTCCTTCACATTTTACAAAAGAGATCATTACCATGTATTTCAATAGTACAAGCAAGAGCTTGTATTCCATTAGATAGAAACTGATTCAAGCATTTTTTTTTTTTCATGAACTAGTCTGATTAATGGGGAGAAAATGAGGAACATCTGTAATATATTCAACAATAAAGATTTTAAAAAAAGAAAAGAAAAATTAAAGTAGAATACTTCTCAAAAAAAAAACAACTTTAACTAAAAGCAGTTTATGGCAGGCAGGTAGTCATGTCCTAGCAGGGCATCTTCCCTGACAAAGGTCAACTTTCACCTTAATTCTGAGCCTATTGTCTTTTTGCATCATGATAACAGACTTTTGGAATGTCAGGGTAACTCCCCTTGTTCCAGACCCCTCAGGGCACAACCAATGCACCAGGGCAGAGACTATAAATCCCCTAGTTCTTGTTAAATTAATTGTTGACTGTTAGCTATCCATTAACTATCCGGCACCCACCTATGTAAAAAATGTATGTATCTATCATTTTACTTTTTATCCAATCCCAGAGTTTTCCCCACTTTGCTTTCTTCCGCCTCCTTAATCTATCACCAATGGATTCATGTAACTCGCTTTCATCTTCTCTTTTGATTGTAATGTATAAAATGAGGCAAATAACTGCCATTCTCGAGCTGTACCTCAACCTGTTGAGATTTGGCAATTGTCGACAGTTTTGACTCAAATAAACTCACAAAAATTATTTTTAAAAAGCCAGTCGACAATTGCAGAAAGAATTACAGACCAACCTCATGACTAGACTTATAAAAGTAAATACTAACAGCTGATATAATAACAAACACTTGAACTCCTAAGTGTTTCCTGTCTATTAGCTCATTTAATTCTTATAACAAACTATGAGACAGATACTGTTACTATGCCCATTATATCTAAATGAGAAGACAGAAACACAGAGAAATAAAGCTTGCCCAAGGTTTTATAGCTAGTAAGGAAAGGATCTTATAGTTGAACCTATTAGAGCTCACATTCTTAACCTACTACATTATAATACCTCAGAATAACACACCTTGATAATGTAGGATTTATTTCAAGAATATAATATTGGATCTACATATCAAGGCAAAATATGATGTGATCATCTTAATAGGTTCTACAAAATGCATCTGGTAAAATTCACTATTATTTCTTGGCATAATATATAAATATAGCATATACTTAACATTTTAAATTAATATAATTAACACATACATGATAATTAGATTACGAATAGAAGAGCCCTGGCCAGTGTGGCTCAGTTGGTTGGAGTGTTGTACCATGCACTGAAAGGTTTCAGTTTGATTCCCAGTCAGGGCACATACCTAGGTTGCAGGTTTGATCCCTGGTCAGGGAGCATACGTGAGGCAACTGATCGATGTTTTTCTCTCTCTCTCTAAAAAAAAAAGAATAGAAGAATAGCTAAACCAATAGCCATATTGTACTTAATAACATTAAATAAATGTCTGTGAAAGTCAAAAAAAGGTAAAAGTAAAGATACCTATCATCATCACCTTTGATATTTGTTTGGAATTATTCCCTGTGCATTAAAATTATATTTTATTTTTTATATTCCTTTTTTAATTGAATTTATTAGGGTGACATTGCTTAATAAAATTATATAGGTTTCAGGTATACAATTCTATAATACATCGTCTGTATATTGTATTGTGTGTTTACCACTCCAAGTCAAGTCTCCTTCCATCACCATTTATCCCCCCTTTACCTTCTTTTACTTCCCTTTAGTGCATTAAGATTTTTAAAAAATAATATTATAACATTAAATATTTATAATATATTAAGTGGTTGAAAAAGCAAATTATAAAAGTGAAAAAAAGTACTATTTACATTAAAAAGTAGAGTGCAAAAATGCATCAAAAAAGATCATTATTTCCTCTGGGAGATAAGATTTTGAGTGATTTTCTAAATGTGTGAAATGTGTGAACACTTTCCACATTTCCTAGATGTGTATTAACATATGCACAATGGTATTTTTCTCATTAAAGAAAGTAAAATTTCACTGCAGTGTGCTGAGAACCTGATATAAAATAAAATACCTGTGTTCCATAAGTATTCATTTATTAAGCATCTATTATAGAATTTCGGGTATTCTAGAGTTTATTTTCTAGCATTAGAAATTAATCTATAGCCCTGGCTGGGTAGCTTAGTTGGAGTGTCATCTTGATACACCAAGGTTGAAGGTTCAGTCCCTGGTCAGGGCAATGCAAGACTCAACCAATGAATGCATAAATAAGTGGATCAACAAATTGATGTATCTCTCTCCCTCTCTCTTTCTAAAATCAATAAAAAGAAAAATTTTATCCCAGCCAGTGTGGCTCAGTGGTTGAGTGTAGACCCATGCATGAAGAGGTCACTGGTTTGATTCTGGTCAGGGCATATGCCCAGATTGTGGGCCAAATCCCCAGAAGGGGATGTGCAGGAGGCAGCTGGTCAATGTTTCTCTCTCACATCAATGTTTCTATCTCTTTATCCTTATCCCTTACTCTCTCTCTAAAAATCAATAAAAATATGTTTTTTAAAAATAGTAACTTAATAAAAATTTAACAAATAAGAAATTAATATACAAAATTTTATTGCAGAGCAGCCTAATAAGCTGATTTAGATATACTAAGTCTTGGATTATTTTTGAGGTGAGTGTTTCTTAACTACTACTCACAACCTTGAGGAGTAGATTATAATGAATGCAAAACTCAGACCAAATCTTTCCACACATACAGACACTTATTAAAAAACATTCACTGGCCCTGGCCAGTTCGGCTCAGTGGTTGGAGCATCAGCCTGCGGTCCAGAGAGACCTGGGTTTGGTTCCTGCTAAAGGCATGTACCTGGGTTGCAGTTTGTCCCCGGCCCTGGTTGGTCTTGTGGGTGGCAGCCACTCGATGTGTCCCTTTCACGTCGATGTTTCTCTCTCTCTCTCTCTTACTCTCTCTCCCTCCCACTCTATCTGAACAAAAAATGGAAAAATGTCCTTGGGTGAGGATTAAAAAAAAAAAACTTCACTGAAGCAGGCACAAAATGTTTCATACAACCTGTCTGATAAGCATGACAACATCCCAGCAGCCTGTCCTTTTAGGTGTTCCAACCACCGTGTTGAGTGGAAGGTTTATTTGGGGTAGATGTGACACTGTTCCAGATGTAGGGCTCTGTTCCCATTATTGTCAGAATCATGCAGTCCCAGCCACCTGACCCAGTGACAGAACAGGGGACCATTTGGAGCTCAAGCCCCAGGTCCATTTCGAGTGGTGTAGGCTACTGGCCTCACCAGATTCTTTTTTATATATATATAAATTTTTTATTTATTTTTTTGTTACAGATATTTTACCTTTTTTACCCCATTGGCACCCCCCACCCCACCCCACCTCCGCCCCATCCCCGGCTTAGTTGTCCATGTCCATTGGTCATGCATACATGCATATAAGTTCTGTGGTTTATCTCTTCCCACCTCCCCAACCCCTCTTCTGAGGGATGTCAGTCTGGCCCTACTTCCATGTTTCTGGGTCTACTGTATTCCTCAGACTGTTATGTTCATTATATTCCGTATATAAGTGAGATCATGTGGTATTTGTCTTTTTCTGCTTGGCTTCTTTCACTTAGGATAATACTTTCCAGGTCCCTCCATGTCGTCTCAAAGGATAAGAGATCTTTCTCTCTTACCGCTGCATAGTACTCCACTGTGTATATGTACCACAGCTTTTATATCCATTCGTCTACTGCTGGACACTTGGACTGTTTCCAGATCTTAGCTATTGTAAATAGTGCTGCCATGAATATGGGGGTACATATATTCTTCCTGATTGGTGTTTCAGACTTCTTAGGGTATATACCTAGCAGTGGGATCACTGGGTCAAATGGAAGTTCAATTTTTAATTTTTTGAGGTAACACCATATTGTTTTCCATGGCGGC